ACATTACACGTTGCGTAAACTCTCCAAAGTGTTGAGTGCCAAGGTGCATGAAGTTAACAATAACGCATCTGAGGGAGAAGCAAATAACAATGTCAGCTCAACAACTGGCAACACTGAGGGCCAAATCCTTCAAAAACCATTGAACAAAGGTGTACCGGCACACGAGCGTGAGTTGTTCGACGGCAGTGCTAGTGTACGTGCCAAGTTAGCATACGAAGTAGCATTGCAGTTAAGTAACGAGGAACACAAGTTGCCGCTAGACTCAACCGCTGCATTGGAGAATCTGCTTGCCGCTGTACAAACGTATGCACAACCCATCGAATGCGATTTGAATGAATTGCAGAGTCAAAATGAGAACTTGGAGCGCCAAAACTCGTTCCGTCCTGTGTTTTTGAACTACTTCAAAACAACTCTCTATCATCGGGTGCGTGCTGTTAAATTCCGCATCATTTTAGCTGAGCAAGGCTATGATCTGCAAACCCTTAATGCAATTTGGAGCGAGAAACAAAAGAATGGCTTGATCGAAGTTCTGCACGTAATTGAAGAGCTGAAACCTGAAGATAAGACGGAGCTGGCCGATTTATTTGACAGTTACTTCGATCCAGCAAAGACGACTATTAAGCCGATTGTCAAAAACAACAATCGTCGCCGAAATAGGCGCGGAGGTAATAGAAAATAATCATTTAGTTAGTTGTATATTCCAATAAAATAATCATATTGAACAATTAGTACGCAACGTAAAGAACGAGGGTAGCAACAGCGCTCGTCCTGGTAGCGAGCAAGGAGCTGGCGGTGACAAACAGGCTGCGGCTGGACAGCTGCCCGATTCTACCACCAAATCGCCATCTCCGCCAACCGGTGGCAAGCCCCAGCGCGGCAAGCGTAATCCACGATCGCGCAATAACTCCTTAAGAACACAGCCACAGCAAAGCGCCGTTGAGACTACAAAAGTAACGGCAACAGCAACAGCAGCAAATTAAGCAACGACAGTGCCTTATCAAAAACAAATAAAGGAGGACGCTGTTGTAGCCCCAAAAAAAAAAACAAGTAATATTTTTATGTAATATTTTTGTTTCACAAACGTATCGAATTTGAATTCAAAGAAACATCATAATTATTTACTGATCAACAAGTTGAGCAGAATTTGAATTATTCATTTTACGTATTGCATTCATATTCACCTAAAATTACATATACGTAAAAATATATAACATTTATCAGCAACAGAACTACAATATAAACTAAACGAGTACATTTGTCGAACATTATCAGCTACAATAAACTATTTGTAGATGACGTTAATTTAATTTGATTATTTTGAAGTCATTAATAATTATTATTTTATTTTGCTTTCTTACAATACAACATACCGACATATGTTCATAAATATGTAAACTATATAGTGTATTATTACGCTTTTGTTATGTATGTCGAACGCTTTCAAAAAAATCTAGACTTACTGTAATAATTTATTTAGTAGTTTTACTAGAGTTGAGTACATTGTTCAGCAAATATTGGCTACACTCTAGTTTGACGTCTTCAAGGATTCTATAAGAATTCGGAGAGCTATGCTTATTTGCACAAATTGGAGTTTTGAATTTTTAAAAGGTGCGCTTTAAAGTTTGTTTTATAATTCTTAAACTGCTGTTTATGTATTATTAAATTGTACACTGAAATGTTGTAAATGCACATATGTAAGAAATATATAAACATAGTATTTTTCCCAACATAACTTACATAAACATACATATTCATATCGTGGTCATCTCAAAGGTTTGTCGGTGATAAATTTGAAACGAAAAATACCTTTAGAATTAGAATATTGTAAGCTTTCAGATTCTTCTCATTTGCCTTAAAATATTGTTTTTAAGATTCTTGTAGTCTTAAATTCGAGGAAACTAAGAATATCGAGAAATGATATATTTTCAAAGTCTTCAACTGAAACCTTTGGGAATGATGACGATGATGCATTACTTATTTTCATAGCACGACACTTAGAAGTTCTAAGTTAGAACTCTTGAAATTTCATACATTGAATGAGTCTTCTAGCAATTTAAATGCTTTTTTCTGAGATGAGAGATCGAGCCCGACCCGCCAAAAAGATGTAAGCGAAATATTTTTACAAATTTTAATTTTTGGTGCAGACATTTTCCTAGAGCATGACTGACTTCCTAAATGCATCAATACATAATTGATACAAATGTCCAATTCGCACAACTAAGTTCCAATTTGGCATTTGGACGTGGTTGCGCATATTATACATTTCCATCAATTATAGTTTAGAAACAAAGGAAGACTGATGCTTTGTATTGATGCATTTAGGAAGTCAGCCGATAGATGCACTCTGCATCAAAAAAAGTTTGAAAAAATTTCGCTTATATCTTTTTGGCGGTTAGGGCTCGATCTCTCATCTCAGAAAAAAGCATTTAAATTGCTAGAAGACTCATTCAATGATGATTACTTTCAGAATTTCCATAAAATAAACCGCGCTGTGTAAAAACAGTAAACAAACACAAGTTTGAAAGTTTCCTCAGTTTTCAATTACTTCATATTTCTGAAAGCATTTAGTTATATAAATTACCATTTACCAGTTTTAGCTTAAACTCAAAATGAAAAAACTCAGGGATTAGTTCTGCAATCGACAAAAATTGGATTGGTGCGTTGCAGTTATGGAAAAATGAAAAATGAAAGAAACGTTCAACTCAATCAAGAACGAGGAGTAATGATGATAAGAAGAGAATTTACCATGGAACATGAAATTTGAAAAAAGGAAAACTAAACGTTTTCGCCGATTGTGTAAACTCCTTGTCCGAAATTCTAGTGACTGAAAAAATTAATTTGTTTGATTTGAAATTTAACAAAATTTTTGCGTACGCAACGCAACATACATTGGAAATGCAGCAACAATGAAATCTATATAGTGCTTATATGAGAAGACTGCCATCAATGCCAGTAAAAAGGATTGATTTGTTGCAACAATGCAAACAAAATTAAATAATTTAACAATAACATGAATACACATGTACATATCTGCGGTCGTCTCAATGAAGCGTGATTCTGTCGAAGTGACTGACTAATCTAATCGTGATATGCACGTCCAGGCTTCGCAGGATAGAGCAGAATTTTTGTTTAGTTTATTAACAAACCTCGCAGTCAACATCCATGACTAGAGCCACGCAAATATTATTGATTTATCTTTAAAATATAAAAACGGAACAATATTTGGCAGTGAGGATACATTACTTATATTAACTCAATTAGTATTGTTCTGAAATTAAGGAATTTCAGAGCTAACTCACAACCACCTAACCCATATTGTTTTATTACAGCTTAGTGCTAGATTTCATTTAAATTTTAATATGAACTCTAAACAAAAAATGAAAAAAATTAAACTATAATATCTTTTACAGCAACACTTGAATAACAGGGAATTTAAATGCCAATGATAAAATACCTATTTGTTAAATTTCCACGGATCAGTAGATTCATTATCTATGCGCTAAAAACAAGATGTATAAAAAATAGGCATAGCAGATTTACATACATACATATATAAAATTACTGATTTGCTCTTTATTGTTCTCGTATTTGCATTGCAACACTCGTGGAAACTCATAGTTAAAACGCAACAACAATTCTTTTTACACACACCGAAATGTTATTGCACTTTTCCGCTTAAACGAATGAATTCACAGCGAATTGCACTGCATTTTTTCGATGTATGCTCCACAAAACTACCGAGTTCTGACTAAAAAAACTAAATATTCGTAATATTTTTTGTATTGTTTCTGTTAAAAAATTTTTTTTTTGCTAATTTCTGTTGTGGCTTTGTGTACTTTATTTGAAATAAAAATTCAAAAATCAGATTTAATCAAAATCTTTTAGTGCCCGTTTGAAATGGAAAGAATTATACCCATTGCATTTTCCTTTTGTTGCTGCAACGGTCTAAAAAATCTGCATGCGTCTAGCAAGTCCGTTGTTGTGATCTTACAAAAGTAGGATACTTTGTCTTTCATGTCGTCGACCAAGTATTATGATTTCAAGTCAAGGGGGGAACCCTTAAACTGCGTTTAAAAAGCTGAATGCGAATGGTACAATAATAATACACAGCAAATATTTACATAAATGCCGATCCAGTGCGTGTACTCTATGACGGCACGACTCATGTGTGTATATATATAAATAATATACATACAGCACAGTAACCTTGCAACCAACTACCTTTTGCCATTCAAACATCGATTTTATTGGTGGTCCCAAGCTATTTAGGGAATTGTAGCGTATTATTCAAATCCTTCCAGAAATGCTTGGTCTTTTTTTTTGTCTTCTGAAAAGTATTGCTCCATCAATAAAATGCATCAGGATAATTAGTACATACAAAACTAGCCCAATAGATTAATAAAAATGGAATCCCTTGTGCGTATTACGGAAGCTCGAATGTTGGCATGTTTATAATTGTTGTGTTCAAACGGTGTCCAAATTAAAAATAGTTTTTGCGTTCATTTATATATAAATTGAATATAACAAATTATAATGATGTCCTGTATAAGGCTGCGTTTCCTCGAATTATTTTACTATTGATTAGCCATTAAATAGTATCTTTTTATTTCCGGTGTTTAAATTTTTGAATATCTCATTTCCTCTTTGGCAATTTCCGTTGGAGAAGTAAAGAAACATAGCCGAAGTTTGACAGTCATCTGATAAAATCCCCTTTACGCATGGTGATGCCATTAAGTGAATGCCTCCCTGAAAATCTTGCGAAAAGGTGGAACCATTTTTTTATTTTATACCTTTCGCTTTCTCTTACTTTTGTGTATTTACATGTATTTTTTTAGACAAAAGAATGAATTAGCTCACAAAAATTAAAATTAAATTCCTAAATTGCTTCAGCTATGTGGCATCAATGTGGCATTCGATTTGTCCGCAGTATGGCAACGCTTAACACCAATTAATTCGAATGCCATTTCCCATGAAAAAGTTCCCTATTTTGAATTTCCCAGGGTCTTTTTCCCACACACATTCAAAGTTAGAAAAATTCCTTTTGCTGTAAACGCAAATAAATTCACACGAAATGCAATTTTCTTCACAAAACTCCAAATCTTCAAAAAATGTAAGAATATTTTATTTTTGAATTGCCTCCTGTTTTAACTGTGTGTTTATATTTATTAAAGGTCCATTAATAAAACGCAGCTGAACGCTTTGGTAAATGCAATGGTGGAAAATGCTGATATAGGCAGAAGTTTTCAGAAGAAAAACAAGGAAAAGACCCAGCAATTCTGGAAGGATTTGAATAATTACTTAAATAGCTTGGGGCCGCCAATAAAATCGATCTTTGAATGGAAAAAGGTAGTTGGCCGCACGACCACTGTGCTGTCCACATGCATATGTATATAGATGTACATATGTATATATGCATGTGGTGCACTGGTCCGGCGTTTATGTAAAGATTTGCTGTACATAATCTGTTTAATAGTCGGTATTTATTTTAGGTATGGATTGACCAAAAACGGTATGTGCGGAAGAAGGCTATTTTAAATGCACAAAATAGAAAGAACAACGATGGAGGTAAGATATATATTTTTTCCGCATTGGAGCAGTCAATTCTGAACTTGGCAATGCCTGTTGAAGACAACAAATCAGACATGATTCAAAAGAGTACTCTCTCTGAGATTGAGGGAGACACAAATGTAACTTTCAAAGTTTTTAAAGAAGAACCATTTGAACAAGAAGATAGTTTTCAAGAGAACTCATCTGTTTGCGAATACATCGGTCAAAGCAGACCGGAAAGTACTACACCAATACATAAGAGAAGTCGTGCAAATGAATTTGAAATCAATCCCAATGACTTATTGGCCATGGAGTTTAACGTCCAAAATGAAATGATTAATAACTTTGCTGGTGGCCCAGAACTGAGCGGAAATCAATACAATGAAGTCCAACGTCAGCTAAAAGATTTGAAGGCATCAATCGAAAGTTTAAGAGGGTGTCAAGACAGATTGTTATTTGAAACAAAGCGTCACCATTTAGAAATGGAACGCCTTAAAAAAATTGAAATGGAAAGGAATCTGGAACTCATCAAACGTCAAATTGAAGTGCAGGATTGGAAAATACTTGCTGCGAAAAGAAGTTTAGGCATGGATTAAATATATGAAATAACACGAGCGTTTTGCAGTGCAAAGGAAATAATTTAGTTTCATTGGATATCTGAATTACATATTTTATAGTTAATATGAATGCATATGTACGTAATCCATGTTCATACATACATAGTTTAAACATTCTACAAAAGTGTATTCATTAAACAACTTTCATTTTTAATATTATGGACAAAATATGCAATGACTCAGCGAGAGCTAAGCAATCTTTTATAATTTGTTACAAAAGTCCATAGTAAAAACTGCCTTCCTCATGTGATTCACAAAAACCTAATAGATTAAAAAAATAAATAAAAATAATATTCCGACGAACTGATAACCTCCTCCTTTTTTGAAGTCGGTTAGCAATTGCTATTACAATAAACTTGTCTTTAATACAAATATAACGCTTTATTTTTCTATTTTATGCAAGGCACATTAAACAGATAGCAGCATTAGAGCAAAAACGACAAGCTGCGTATATTTTAAAATTCAACGTGCCTTGATATTATGGTGGGAATTGTTTCCTTTGTAGTTTCGCGCATAAACTCACTGGATATGTTGGCTGTATTTGTAATTATTCTCAAGTATCCACCTTATCAATGTAGCTGTTCACACCTGCCTGGTCATCTGGTTGTGATTATTTATGAACACCCACAATATGGAAGCCTAAAGTGTAAAATATTTTATTAATATTCCACTAACTTGCATTTGGAGATAGGTATGTATGTCTTCATCAAGCTTCAAGTGTTATCGTAAAATTATTGAACTTATTGCCCAGTGGATATAGTCAAAACAAAGTAGACTCTAAAGATAAAAGCAGATAAAATCTTATTTTAACTTTAGAGTAGAATTAATTTTTACTATTAAGTACGGGCTATTATTTTTAATAATATGCAGCCCTGGTTATTTTCATCGATCAATACAGTGCATAGTGTTGTATGAATACTATCGCTTTTCACTGTAACTTTTGACATTTCTTGCTATTGGCAACTCTACGCCGGATCAGCTGAGCAAATTCTGTGAACAAATTTTTCCCAATTTTTTCAGTTTCCAAACAGCTGCACTCGAAAAATCATTGTGGAAAATGTGCTGAAAAGTGGGTGGAAGGGTTCAAAATAGAATAATAAGTGCGTGTAATTTATATTATACAGCGTTAAATTCGCAAATAAATACCAAGGTGTTAAACTACATGTGTATTTGGGAAATATCAAAACAAGAACAGTGAAAATATCAAAGGAAAATTTAGAATTTTCTTTTGTGGTGTCAATAAATTTCTTAAGCCCAAGTGATCTTTTTGTTCTATGTGCAACGAGGTGCATGCACTGTCGATCGCGATGATGGAAGAACTAGCAGATGAGGTTCAGCTCCGTTTTCCGGGGGAAAAAGTAAATGCGCCTCTGCTTATAACTATTTACTACGCCGCCAGATTGGATCATGCCAAACGGCTACTAGCTGCAACAAATGATATACACAACAGAGAGCTGGTCAATTATTTAGTAAATTTGGTGAGTAATTTTTTCTGACCAATGCGTATATTTTTATATGTTTATAACTATGTTAATGCAAGTGTATTTTTTCGTTAATAATATTCAAGCATATTTATTCCCAGCGCAAATGTAGGTATAGGTTGAGTACATACATATATGTATATGTACCTTAAGACCGTGCCCCAAGACTGAAAGCTTTTTGGTTTTTTTTCTATTTATAATACTCCTTTGCAGTTTAAACAGGATGAATTAGAAAGATTAACACAGTCTTCATACAATATTTTAGGATCTCTAGTAGCAAACATACATACATATATGTACATATCGAGTGCTTATATTCAATACCTTCTATCTACAATTTTCACAAAAACTATTTTGTGATGTTAGAACCAATCTGGGCCTTACCTTTCATAAGTGATGTTAATACTGACTTTGCAATTTAATAGTAAATCCTTCTGTCAAGCGTTATACAAGGTCAGCATTAGTATCACCGTTGACGGTTAAGTCTTAGGTGGATTTTTATATCAGAATCTAATTTTTTTTTTAAGTGCAATGAGATTATTATCGGACGATTAATGGATAAAAAATCTCTGGCACTGTATTAAAAGATGACACGACGTAAGCATCTTAATAATTAGTGTCATTCCTTAGGTTAAGGGTTTCGGTTTTGTAGTACATATTTATTTATTTATTTCACATCATCATCAATCAGACACATGGTCAAATAGGTATACTTCACAAGTCATCAATTCGATATTAATCTATAATTAAATAATACTCACACTTTTGAGAATACATGCAGTGTATTAAAAATACTAGACTGCAAGATTTATTATATATATGCATTATTTGACATACAAAAACAGATTGTAAAAACTATATAATATCAATTAAAATCAGGTATGTATATTAATGTTTAAAATCAAATTGGTTTTTTTTTAACTATGGCAAGCTTTTCATAATATGTATAAGCATACAATTTTTTTATTGGTCATCCATCGAGTCTTGTAGAGCTTCGCTCACTATTTCTGCATCCTTTTCTTGAAGTTTTCTTTGCCTTATTGCCGCTTTTCGCCTTTGGTCGCGTACATATTTAAAGTAGCGCATTGTTCGGTCTATGAAAAATTCTGTATCCATGTGATAAAAGCGTTGTAGGAAGATCTCTGCAAAAAAAATTTTTTAAGCAGTGCTATTTTATATTATACATGTACATATCGTCCCCTAAAATGGCAAAAACTCTAACTAACAAATTTTTTTTAGATAAAACAATTTGGGGGTAATTTAATAAAACAATATAATCAATCAGAAAGTGAATCTCGGACTTTTTGTTTTTTACAGTATGTTGCCTTCCAGGTGACGATATGTAGTATTTCTAGCCATTCTTACCTTTAAAAATGTCCGTAAATATATAATCCTTTATTGCACGTTTGTCCCGTCCAGTTCCCCTGTATGAATAATGGTGAGCAGCATCATTGTGAAAAATATTACGCCAAGTTTGAAGGATATACTTTTCTGGTTCTTTGCAGCTTCCTTGCATTAGCTCCACGCGCTAAGTATTGTATATGTAAACACATATTTGTATATATAGATACATATGTACTATGTATGTATGAACCAAGAATGATAGAATTCTGGATCGTGTGTATGAACATAGTTTATGCTGGTAGGGGTATTCTCGAAGTCTTGCAAAGCCCTTGCGTGGTGCACGGATTGCATCATAAAAACCGGTTTTCCCATGGAATAGCTTTGCAATCCGTGCACCGTACAACGGCTTTTCCAGACTTCGAGAATACCCCTAGTGATTACATTTTATAATAAAACATAGCAAGATATACGCACCAATTGGTCACGCTGATCCTCATCGTTTCGCAGAAGTATATTCCAATCTTCAAATTGCTGCGCTTCTCTAAATGGTTGTGTGGGCAGAACTCGCGCTTGTATGCTGAAAAAATCTAAAACTGGTCGTGGGTTGGCCACACTATATGACACATTCGGCCCTACACTTTCCTTTTGGCATTGATTAGTTTCTGGCTTGGAAGTACCTGATTTTTTAACTTTCTTTGATTTTACGCTTTCATTATCTGTGCCACTATTGTTTAACTCAATCTCATGTATCGTCTCGTGACCATCTGTAGCTTGTCGATCAGAGGAATGTTTTACCACTTTTGATGATTCCGAAGAAGATGGAATTACTTTTGGCTCCCATTTGCTTTCCAAAGCTTCGATAACCTCACGTCTAAGGCCTACAATTTCTTTTCTTAATCGATGAAATAACTTCTCAAAGCATTGTCGCATTGTTAGCAGCTCGTCCATGACTTCATTACAACAATTACAGCGTGTTATAGTGTCTGTATCAGACATTTTAGCTAAAGTGAATGAAAAGGCAATAACTTCAATCAATAATTCATAGACAAAAGTATATCTATTTATGTATGTATATATAAGCGTGTGTGAATCACGTAAGTATGTACTTAAATGCGTAGACTAAGTGATGCGTATATGTGTACATTTAAATTAGCAATTTAGAATTAGAATACACACATAAATTGAAGAAGAATTGTTAATAATGTGCCTAAGCTATTGTTGCTTTTGCGCTTTCTGTGGGCTGCATATGTATGTATGTATGTATATCTATACATATCGCTCGCAGGTAACAATTTATTGTATGCTTTTACCTTTTATATATCCACCTTTTTCGTCGAAGTCGAGGCACTATCTTTTAAATAATAATCTTTGTTTTGGCGCACTAGTTTTGTTTTTAAAATACGCTCGGAATCTCCGTCTGTTTTTCATTTACACTCTCTTGACGCTTTTCGTGAGATGACATTCTCCTCTTTTTTTCTTTTTTATCAGGCATTCTATCAGCGTTGCCAACCTTAGCTCGCTGTGGTGAATTTATTTTTTTATAATTCATGTCAAATCATGGAGGTCGCCATATTTTAAATTTGTTTATATCGAGTGAACGCGAGAAAATAAAATTATATATTACTTATGTATATAAATAGTGCACAAATGAAACCAAATGATAATTTTGCTTCGTAACGAACATTTTACATATTTACAAATATATGAGTGTCGTTAAATTCTAATAAAAGTCACGCGATCGCGAGGAAGGCACGATCTGCCAAATGATTTCGGGCTACTGTTTACGAACGGTGGACACGATTCAAAAAAATGTATACACACTTTTAATTAAGAATCTAAAATTTCAGCTGATTCTGTCAAATTCGCCCAGAACAAAGTAGCGGTACTGCTGATTGTGCCATCTCTGTCTCCCTACATCGTGTAATTCATGCAATACCAAAAAATTTAGTTTGTGTCATAGTAAGTTATCACCAGATAAGAAATCAGTGCAGTTTGATACAGAAATAACAATTGTATTTTTAAGATAATATGTATTACTCGTCACGTAAAAACACATTTTCGGATTATGACGTACGTGAACGTACTCTATCCCATTCAGCTTATACGACGACGGATGGTACGATACGGGCCCAGCCAAAATGTATTCAACAAAGTGTGATGGATTTTGACATTGCTCTCATACGAAACAGGCTATAATGTCAAATTGAAATGAATTGTTAACCCATTTGAAAATGTGTTTTTTTCAAATTTGAATTTGTAAAAAAAAAATTACACAACTTTTCAAGCAACAAATTTTTTTAATAATCGTAAAATTGTTAAGAGATAAACCACCGAGGAGAGCAAGTAAGTACATTTAAGTGTGGTAATAAGTAAATACGTAGACTTTGCTTAAATATTTAATGTAAGGAAATCAAGATGAAACGAAGGAAAACGTTTGAACGGTGCGCTGTATGCAATAAAAGTCAGGACATGAAATAGTGCGAAGTTTTAAACCACATAGTTGCGAATTAAGACGGCAGCGATGAGAAGAAAGCTGTGGTGTTGTACTACGTGATTCATCTCGCGTTTGTGTAAACCACTTCAAGGAAAGTGATTTCATTAGTTGTCCGTCAAACTCAAGCACTTTCAAACGAGCTCGTTTATACCCAATGCCATGCGAAATAACTGATCCAAGTGAGGATTTAGTACACGATCAGGATACATTCCTTGTTGAGCCCAAACTCAAACAGACGACTATTTAGAATGCACGTTGCGAACAGAAATATTTCGGCTTAGCGAAATAATTAAAACCATGCCAGCAAGTATGGAAGAGCTTAAATTAAAACCGCTCGAAGCAAAGTCCTTAATGGAAAACTATTTCCCATGAAAAAAATTTAATTTCAAAATTGTTAGAGTTAAGCTCACATATAAAATTGGAAACAAATGTAAACTCATACTTTTATAAGCGTCGAATAATGTTTAGGATAAAAAATTTAAATATAAAAATAAACGCACCAAAGCATAAAACTTGGGCAATTAAAAATAAGAAAATTGCTAAAACGATTTTATAAACGATTTGTTGTATTTTATTGTCAAAATATATGTAATGTAAGTAAAACAAAACTATAATCGAAATAAAAGCCTAGGGCATCAGTGCTGACAAGATACATGCATCACTAAGGGTTAATTCGTTTGTTTATACTCTTTGACATTATAGTACCTTAAAACATGATAAAAACATAGCAAGGTATAACCGTTCTCTCAATTTGTCGGCCATGATTTTTTTTTTGAAGTTTGCCAACATTTTAAAATCATATAAATGTGAAAATAAAAAAATGAAATTGTTCGAAATTGTTGTTGCTTGAGATTGAAAATGAAAATGTGTGTGTGAGTTTGTGAGAAAATTTAAAAATTAAATTGTTTGGAAACGTCAAGAATTTTAAAAGTGACTCTCAGCGGTTCTACCTTACTATATTTTTATCATGCCTTAAAAGAGAGTCTCACTGAGTTGTCAATCACACCTTGTTTAATACACCTCGGGGGGGGGGGAGAGCCCAGCTACATAAATGCAGAACCAGTTTTCTGTAGTGTAGTAAACAAACGTACCTGCAGATTACTGGCTTAGTTGGCAACGCTGAAACTGTGCTAAAAGAACGCATGAAAGAGGATAGAGAACTAGAAACTGCTGTCAGTATCCGCAATTAATCCAGAAATACTGAAGAAAAACTGAGGCATTTCAACATTTACTTGCGATCAATACTGGTAAGGTTTTTGTGGATAAAAAAAATTAAACTGTACTTTTAATGGGAGGAAAGAAACAATATATTAACTAGTTGGTATACTAACTACTGCACGGCGGAAGTGTAAAATTGAGTTGAAAAGTAATTAGTGTACTCGCATAGGGAATAGGTGTGGGTGTTCATATCATAAATAGGAACATGTGAATACCTAAACACAGAAAATATCTTAATTTTTGCCAAAGCGATCTAATTATTTATTAACTAGTTGTGTAGCAAATTAATTATGTACACAATTCAATCGGTAATCCCTACTTTTTTGGGTGGAAGTCTCTTATCTCTAAAATTTACATTCATATGTACCTATGTATGTGAGTATTTTTGTGGTATAGTCATCCAAAGGAATTGGTTCCAACATAACATATGTATGTACATACGTGCATGTGTATGCGCATATATAGGAAAATTCGAAGGTATTACCAGTACCATACTGAAACCAAGTTAAGAGAAGGGTATGGTGAATTTTAGTATACCAGGTTATTGGTAGGACCAGTACTCCCCCTTTGATATTAGTATATATTCAAAAGTTGTAAATGCATTTACGTACATACATACATACATACATATGTATGTGTTTATATGCATACATATGATGTACGGGGCTGCCAACAATATTTAGCTATGAAGTGCCATATTGAGGATTAAAAAGGATTAAAAAGTGCCAAACTGTGCCAAAAAGAAAAAAAACGAGTATCAAACAGGTGCCATTCTTATTAATTCTTTCTATGAAGCATTAAAATTAGAAACACACTCCTAAAACCAAAGTCCAATACCAAAGTAAGATATACCAGTTGTATACGCTATAAAAATTAGACAATTTTAGTTGAGAAAAAGAAGTACACGCAAAGGATTTCACAAAAATTTATTTAAATATTACTATTTTTCAAAACTGCCATTTTGGCACTTTGTGTCAAATTGAAAAACTAAGTGCCATTTGAAGTAAAAATGGGGCCAAAATGGCACGGTTGGAGACAAGTTGGCAGCCCTGATTATGTGTATGCATATACTATGCATCAAGGCGAATTTATACATTTTTAATAATTTCTTTTATAATAATTTTAGAATTTGTTATTCGCCTTGCTTGCATGCATGTACATATCGTCGTATTTTATTTTTTTTTTTTAAATACCTTTCGAATTGTACATATCTAAGTACATAAGTTTGTCCATTATTAAGTTGCAAAAGTCCATAATAAAAATTTTGTTATTTTACAAGCTTTAAAATTATATTTAAAATGCATGGCTTGAAGAGTCTTATTTTTTTCCAAGTTAGGAATTTTAGCATAGCTCGTTTTTTTACAGGATTGTTTTCTTTAAATCACAAATTAAAATCAATTTTTCTCGCAGTATTCTTTAATTTTATTTTAAGTTCCAGAATTTAAATAGCTTCAGACGGTTTTGTAGTTTATATAGGAAAATCGGTTAAAATCAGAATAACTCTGGCCAGGCAGAGTACACGTTCATACCCATAAGGATTAAGATACATATTTGGAACTTTTTATATTTTAAAATATTTATTAAATCCTCTCCTAGAAAAAATGCCAAAACCAAGCGGTAATCCACGTTGCAAGTGCTGCGATGAAGTTATGGAGGAGCTTTTGAACATGCGCCAAACTTTCGAAAAATTATTTCATCGTTTAAACAAGGAAATTGTTGACTTGAGGCGCGAGGTTACCGAAGGTATGGGGCAAATGTCCTCTGACAAAGCTTTGAAAAGGGAAAGCAGCTGCAGTCCAAGCGCACCTTCTCCACTACCCACTAAATTTAAGCAATACAACGACAGCGACAGTGAAACCGAATGCATCAGTCTGAAGAAGGATAAAAAGGCTTCGACTTCCAAAAAATCGGTCGATGCTAATAAGGATGATTCCAAAGATCCGGTTGATATAAAAAATGTCGCAAACGTTAGTCGGCCTGTCTTGGACTTTTATAGTATTCAAGCTCGTGTTATGCCTACACAGCCATTCAAGACTGCACAACAGTTCGAAGATTGGAATACCATCTTCACACACGACGAAGATCAGTGCGATCAATTGGTGTGTTTTATTTTTCGAATTCTTCATCATTAGATGAAAATAAAGTTTTTACGATTTGATTTGCAGAGAGTTGAACTTCTACAAGGACACTTTGATGAACCAGATAAATATATAAAACATATATGGCGTAGCGTTTTTAAAAATGACGCTGCTGAAAATTATTCGTACAGGGGAAATGGTCGTTGCAAAAAACGTGCTATTAAAAATTACATATTTACAGACATTTTCCGAGGTTTGTACATACTACGTAACTACCTGCATATTTGCGTAATATGGATGTAGCAATAGTCAGCATTAAATCGCATTTTAATCATTGTTAATTGCTTTGCAGAATGTTTTCTGCAACGTTTCCATCATATGGACGCTACCTTTTTCATGGAACGTACAATGCGCTTCTTCAACTATGTACATGATCAATGGAGAAAGAAAATGCGCAATCAGCGAGGAGGTAATGCAAAATCAAAAAATGAAGAACCTATTGATAACGATATGGCGACACAAGATGAACAAAGTTTCAATGGCTATGAAGGCTCAATGTTTGAGTAAAAAAAAAACTGCATACATACTTATTTTTATTATGTATGATGTTTCAACACACATACGCCCAAATTCATAAAAAATAAAGGATACTTTAATTGCTCTATAAGTCGAAAATTTGCTTGAAAATGTCACTTTATATATATTTTATTTTTTATGAATAAGGCCAATTCATAATATTTAATACATATCGTTACCTTAACTGATAGGAGGCCAAAAACATTATAAAAAAAGAGCATGGAAAAAGTGGCATGTAACGCCGTTGTTTTTGATACTAACACTTTAAAATTTTAATTGAAAGGTGTATTTTAATACATCCTACAAAAATCTGCGAAAACTCAGTTTTGTGAACGTAAGGTAAGGTGTAAGGTAACGATATGTACATTTGTGGATGCGCAACTTTAATAAATATAAATGTTTCATATTAATTTTGACTTTATGAAAAATAATCCATATAAGTGAATAAAATTTCAATTTGTATTCCTTAAATTTATTTGATAATCTGATTTTTGTGTTTGGTTTTATCGCCGTTCGAATGGGTACATTTTTTAATTAGCGCTACACTTTTTATTAATCCCCAAAGGGTTTTTTAGGCAATGGCGCTGAAGTGACAGTTCTGTTGTTGTTGTTGTTGTAGCGGCTACTAAGCCCCGGGACGGTTCATCCATCATCGTTGTCGTCTATTTCAGCTAAGGGGAGGCCCAGGAAGTGTGCGACTTCCACAGGGGCTGTCCAAAGGGACAGGGGCGTTAGCTGATTGGGATTCTCAGGGCATGTGAAGAGGTGCCGGGAGTCATGTGGCGACTCTCCACATGCCGGGCATTGGTTGGGCACATCCTCGTTGATTCTGCTCAGGTAGCTGTTGAGCCTGCTGCAATAGCCAGAGCGAAGTTGGGCTATTGTTGTGCGGGTCTCCCGAGGCAGACAAAGTTCTGTCCCGTCCACGTCCGGTGGTTGTGTGCCTAGAACGGCATTCACAGGGAGGGAGTCTACATAACATGAGACTGATTCCCTGTGAATGCCGTTGAGGGCCTGTCGGTAGGTTGTCGGGTCCAGAGGTTGTTTAATATACCTCTGGACTTCGTCTGTCAGTTCGTAAAGATGCCTCCTGACGTGCCGTGGCGAGGGCTCTTCCGCGAGCAGTTGCCCGCTGGGATGGCCACGTCTGTCGCTCCCAGCGAGGAACTGCTTGCAAAGCATTAAGTTATGCTCCTTTACCGGGAGCATCTGGGCCTCGTCGTGAAGGTGATGTAGATGCGTCATCAGGAGGCATCCTGTCGCGGTACGTAATGCCGTGTTTTGGCAGGTCTGCAGCTTCATCCACTGCGTCCTTCTAGTCCCCGGCGACCAAACGGGCGCTGCGTAGTTCAGAACCGGCCGGCCAATTGCCTTGTATGTTGCCAACAACGTTTCTTTATCTTTGCCCCAAGTGCTGCCGGCCAGCGACTTGAGGACATTGTTGCGGCTCTGTACTTTGTTGACAATTGCGGTTGTATGCGCCGAGAAGGAGAGCAGACTGTCGAAGGTAACTCCGAGGATTTTCGGGTTATTCACCGTCGGTATTGTTACGTCATCGACGTGAATACCCAGTGGCAGTCTGACCTCCTTCGTCCAGGTGGTGAAAAGGGTTGCCGAGGATTTCGCAGGGGATAGGGCTAGGCTCCTTGCAGTGAAGAAGCGAGAAAGTTCGGAGAGGTAACCGTTTACTTTTGAGCACAAGTCATCAATTCCATTCCCAGACGCCATGATCGAACAATCGTCAGCATATGAGACTATATTAACACCCTCTGGTGGCTGAAAAAGCTTTGATATGTAATAATTAAACAGTAGCGGGGACAGGACACCACCCTGTGGTACCCCCTGTTTGATTTTACGTGGCTTGCTGGTTTTGTCTCTGAAGATTACTGACGAGTGTCGACCACTCAGGTAATTCGCCGACCACCGTTTGAGTCCCTGCGGGAGTGAGGAAGCCTCTATATCTTCTAGTAGCGTTGAATAACTGACAGTTCTCGGCCTTTCTGGTTACGTAGACCCGACTGTCGTGGGAACGGTTTATTCAGAATATTTGATTCCTTTGTCTACTTCACCATTATGGTGTAATTTAATGGTACTTTGATAGTTTCGCTCAGAACAACTAACCTTTCCTGATCTCGACTGAGGATTTTTTCCCATCCTGCTACAGTTTTTGTTGGTAAATATGCAATTTTTTGAAGGATTTGCTTACAAAATCAATAGAAATTCAAAAAATTATGGATATCACGCAAGGATTTTATTAACGTTATTTAGCAAGTTTCCTTCTTTTAGAGTTATAAAAATTAAAAAAAATTCACCTAAATTTTAAACTTTTTATTCAGAATTTTGAGTACAATTTTTGGTATGCAAGTTTTTTAAGTTAAGTTGATCAAATTGCCGTTGATTTTTGGCATTGTTTTTGCTAAATAAGTTATCGAAATTTGAATGGGAAAAATGCGTCACACCGTCAGCAAAAAAAAGCTTAAAAATCAACGGCATTTCGTAGCTACTTGAAACTTGCACTTTATTATACATACTAAAATTTAATGGGATATGAACTGCATACCAAACCTTTTTTTCAAAATTCTGAATAAAAAGTTTGAAATTTTGTTGAATTTTTTTGTAATTTTTGTACTAAGCTTGAAATATGAATTTGTATGATTTTTGTTGAATAACTAGCTAGAGTTTTATAAAATAAAATATTAAACATTGAGTAAACCAAAGAAATAGGGCCTGTTCAAAGTACGTAATGAAAGCGGCAATACTGCAGCACTGATGAAAAATTTCCAATACTGTTGCAACTTCCCAACTAATAAAACACTGATAGAATTTCACACCGAACGTGATTACTTTAATAATTCGCGCAACTCTGCGGTCGCGATTGCATCTCGAAAAAATCCCATATAGTCAAAAGCGATCAAAAAAGGCGTAGTAAGTGTAAATTCAGCTAGTAGTCCAAACAATTTGATCAAGGAAGCGAGGTATAGATAAACAGTGACTCAAAGTTGCATCAAAATTGCACCCGTGTTTGCTTGTAACTAGTTTCTAATATCTAGTGTGTTTTCGAATCATTCCCTAATCGATTTCTAACACAATTTTCTAACCGGATTTTTGATTTGAGAAACATTAGAGAACTACAAGAGAATTCTTATGAAAAATCTAATGTTTTTCTAACGTTAGAGACTGTGTTTGCTGGGATAATCATGCCAAAGAGCTGATGTGACTGTGTGAGATATCTCTTTCATAGCTTTGCTCTCTCGTATTCTACCGGCAGGATAAAACGAAAATACAACTATCAGCTGTCCGCTAGACGCCACACGAGCCAAATTTCAAATTTCAAATTTTCAACCCTCACCCGAATTCCTTTTTGAATAAACATTTGCACATATGGACATGCATATGCACATGGCTAAACACATACATATGTACGTAAATATGTATGTGAATATATCCTTTTAACAGCTAGGCCGCATGCAAAATAAGGGAGTGTGTGGTGTGCATTGTATGAGCGCAGGATAAATAAAGCGCATATGGTGGCGCGAGTGCGCGCAAAAGGACTCCACGCATAATACACTCACCCTGTTTTTTTTTTTTTATATTTATACATTTTTTCTAGCGCACGCTAACGAAATGTTATTGAATTTTCCCAACTTGAAAGGATATGCGCAGACTAAAAACAGTTGGCTTTTCATATCCTTGCGAAGTAGTGTGACACATAAAAATACGGAGCGAAGCGAAAGCGATGAATTCTGAACGTATTCGGTATTGTAAATTGCAGTGCAAAATTTGAATCGAATAAAATTATAAACATATTTTTTTTTCTGCTTTTGTTTACTTGCTATTGCACTTTTAGTACGCGTAAACGTTTATTCGAATCGGCTTGGCCTGGTGCGAAATTCTGGAGAGGCTCAAGTACGACACCCCTTTCACCATATATTTTATATCCTGCGGTGAGTTAAAGCTGCAGCTTTATTGTCATTTTGGAAATGTACTGCGAAAATGAAAATATACTGGTGAAAATCTATGTAAATAAATACTGAAAAAAGCAACAGTGCGGAAAATTCGGTTGCATGCTTTACATAGTAAACCACATTTATTGGTATATTTTCGGTCTTAGTTGAATCTTTCGACACGGTAAGAAGATGATGTACCTTAAAACGGATTCCCGTAAAATGTTGTTGGAGATGAAACGAATTCCCACACATATGTATGTTTGTATATATGTGTGATAGGCATATAGTATGTATGTACATTAGGGTGATAAAAAAAAAAATCACACGCAAATCAACTGGGAGAATTATATATTATATATTTTTTTTTATAAAAATTAAATTAGCTCTGCAACAAAAACCATATAAATCAAAGTTTCAAACCATTTACAAGATTGAAAAAGTCAACAAATTTCCACCAAAATCTCAAACTTTTTATTCAGAATTTTTAGACAAACTTTAGGTATTCATTTATATACCCCATTCAATTCTAGTGAAATAAACTGCAAATTTCAAGCGGATAAGTATTCGCGTTGACTTATTTTTTTTCTGTCAGTTTTAGACATTTTCTTCCCTATAAAAATTATCATGCTTTTTAGGGCATGGGAGAAAAAGCGCAACACCTTCAACGAAAAAACTTCTCAAAAGTCAAAGCGATTTCAAGCCCCTACAGACTTGCACTATGTGTATTGTACTAAAATTTAATGACCTATAAAAGCGCATACCCAACAACTTTTTAAATGTTCTGATAACGGTTTTACTTTTTTTATAAATTTTGTAGAAGTTTGAATATTGAAATGTATGCGTTAAATAATTAAGATTAAATATAAGTTAGGTTGCTATTTGCGATGAAATAAATGTTAACCAATTTAAAAAGTAAAAAAAAAATGGTTTCCTGGTGGGAGGGGGTATAAAAAAAAACAGCAACATTTTGGACCACCCTAATGTACATATGTAGTACATTACTAATTACTAGGGCCCGGATTTTGATGCGCTAAAAATCGAAATTATGCGCATATAATGTACGTTAAAAATTCAAAAATATGCACTAAAAACAAAAAAAAATATACACATTTTTTTTGTTTTTTTATTTTTTTTTTACTCACTCATCATATTTTATTACAAGTTTATAATTAACTCAAGGATATATTGTAATTTCTAGTGCCACGAAAAACTTAAAATTAATGAAATATATATCTAAAATTTTAATATATGTGCATATGTATAAAAAAAAATTTAGCACTTACTTAAAGTAAAAAGTAAAAAATTCATTTATAATAAATTTAAAATATACAGTATTGGCCATAGCTATAGCACCCCCATTTCAAAGTGATATTGTTTGCCATTTATGTTTAATTATTACTTTTTAAGAATTTTCAATTAAAACACAGTTAATTCTCTAACAAAACCCATATAAACCCAAGTTTTAAACTTTGTAAAAGACTACAATAGATGTCAAGCAATAAGCGCTGACATATATTGCAGCACATGAGAAATAGGCGGTCTCCATTGGAAATATATTTTGTGACATAGTTATCACATCAGTGTTTTCCTGTGGAGACAGGGCCTAAGGAAAATTTTCTGAATTTGCTGAGGTTGCGGTTTTATCGGGAGTGTCGGGAAAGGATTTTGGTCCCGTCCCGCCCGCAAAATTTCACAGACCTTCCTGATACCGCCTATTCCGACCAATTTGAAATCAGTACCGTGGGTCACGAGGGTCCCGACATCCCGCGCCCATCTCTAATCTAAAAATATGCGTACATAAGTATGTTTAAGAATTCGCAACGATGTCATTTATTGTCTGATTGTCAAAAAAATAAAAGAATAATAAAATGATCAACAACGCATGCAATCGTGAAGGAAGAAAAACAAAGGAAAATTAAATAAATATGTATTTATTAGCGTTGGGGGGGGATGTTGGCCTTTTTTGCGCATCATGCTTTTCTCAACTGTCAGTTTTGTTGTTGGGGAACGTGAAAAAAATCATACCCGCTTTAACAAAAGAAACTCGTGCTTACTTACAAACATACATACATATAAACATATGTATTTATACGGTAATATCCGATATTTTGTCTAGTCTTTTGTAATCTTTTTCTCAACGATGTTTAAAAACCTGCTGTCTTTTGTCAACAAATAAGAGTTGTCAAGCACTTGCTTAATGTATTTTATTTTATTAAATCTTCGTCGAGTTTTCTACCTTCACTATGTATACTAATTTTTGTATTGATTACTGTTGTAACAAACGTTGGCAATTAAGATTAGGTATGTATGTTACGCTGAAGTGGTAGACTTCCCTGTATCAACGATTGTGCTGAAAAGACTGGGGCAGGGATTGGTCAAACTCCTTTCCTTATTAGTGATTGCGTTTATGCTCCTCGCCGTACTACATACGTACGTACCCAAAAAACGTCAACTTATGTACGAACAACAAATATGAATTTGTGTTGTTGTTGTCCATTTTGTTCACACGCCTACCAGTGGACATCAGCAGCACATGTCTGCTGCCAACATATGCCGGTCATTGAGGCCTGTTTCTATAAATAAATTCTACGTAAGTCTGAGGGCGATCGTGAAAGGAAACGAACAAAGAATTTCCTAGACATATGTACATACACACAGTGCTCCTCGCACCTTTCCGCTATGTAATGTGTCGGGGGTGGAGAGTGTGGTATGAAGAGCACCAAGAGCAAAGACCTTGACTGTGATTTTGTGTTTATTAAATGTAAGCATAATAGGCATGCTAATGCTCTCATTAGGCACGTGTGTACATATATATTTAATATGCAATTTTCTTTATTCTAACTAATTTAATGCAATTTGAAGAGAACTAATAATAATAGGCCTAAAATAATTCTTAAGACGCACAGTGGTTTCCTACCGTAGAAAATGTGGGTAAAAATACAATTATAGACGGACTTAAATGAAAATTTTTTTCTTGGTGGAAGTGAGGGCGCTGAACTTAATAATCTACATAATTTGTTTTTATATAACTTTTATCAAAATCTAGAATTGTTGAGTACTTTATTCTTAAAAAGAAAGAACATTTGGCTGTACAAATGTCCCACACGTGACGGTGGAATACCCCAAATTGAACAAATTGTCTGATTTTGAAAAAAAAAATATGTATTAATATACGTTCTCTGCCGTTGGTCTGTTATTTCTCTTTGTTATAATAAACTTTATTCTAGCAGCTTCAGACTTGCTTTTTATTATACTCAAATTTAATGGGCTATGAAACTGCATACATACCTAAAATTCTTCTGAAAATTCTGAATAGGCCTCCTCTCTCTCACAGGGACTCACGATGGTCGGCGAATTATCTTGAGTGGTCGACATTCAACACGAGAAAAATTAAATAGGGGGTTCCACAGGGTGGTGTCCTTTCTCCATTACTGTTGAACTATTATATTTCCCTAGCTCCCTCAACCACCAGAGGGAATTTCGATTGTCTCTTACGCTGAAGATTGCTCGATAATGGCGTATGGGAATGAAATTGATGACTTGTGCTCGAAAGTAAGTGGTTACCTCTCCGAGCTTTCTCGCTTCCTCACTGCCCTAAACCTCTCCCCTATAAAATCCTCAGCTACCCTGTTCACCACCTGCTTGAAGGAGGTCAGACTGTGAATAACCCGAAAATCCTCGGAGTTACCTTCGACAGCCTGCTCTACTTCTCGCTGCACACAACCGCAATTGTCAACAGGGTACAGCGCCGCAACAGGGTCCACAAGTCGCTGCAAGTGCGCTAATTATGCAGCGCCCCTAATGTCGCTGGGGACTAGCAGGACGCAGGACGGCCCAGATGGGGAGCATAACACAATGCTCTGCAAACAGTTCCTAGTAGGGTGCCACATACGCTTGCAGTAGAGCCTTCACCAAGGCATGTCAGGGGTTATCTTTACGAACTGACGAACGAAGTCCAGAGGTTCATAAAACAACCTCTGGACCTAACTGCATACCGACAGGCCTTGAACGGCATTCACAGCGAGTCGGTCTCGAGTTACATAGACTCTCGATTTGTGAATGTCGTTTTGGGCACACAACCATCCGACGTGGACGGCACCTCTTCGTATGCTCCCAGAACCCCACCCAGATAAGCCCTATGCCTAAGGACAGACCCTATGGAAGTTGCGCACTTCATGGGCCTCCCTTAGCTGAGCCAGACGACAATGTTGACGGATGAGCCGACCCTAACGGGGTTTAGTAGCCGCTACAACAACAACAACGCGTCTGACCTTAGCCATTGGAAAGTGATCTGTCTATGCATAGATATAAGACTTCTTATCTAGGTTTTAATCATTTTGTAGCTGGTTCTTTGGTCATCCACTGGCAGGGGAGCAGGATAAAGGGAAAGCGGAAAGAAACGGTCTGCGGTGGAGTATCAGTCAGGTACTCGAGAAGCTTCTTTAGAATATAGCCAGTAATGACACACTGAATTAGAGGAAAGAGTAATTCGACATACTTTGGAGACTGTGGATACTCACTGCGCATTACAGTCATGATGTGAGAGTTGCAAAGCAGTTGGGAGCTTGCTTTTTCAACTCATCATTTCACATGCATAGCCGAGGGGTTAAAATACAGGTTCGACTCCTGGTCAGAGCAAGCCCGAAAATTGCTTTTTTGTAAGGCGACAGGAAGTGGCATACTTCCGGGTGTTCCTCTGCCGTTGAAAAGCTTTCCATAAAAAACCTTTCCGAAGTAAATTTTGAAGTCACTCTTTTTGTGTAATAACTTCAAGACGCACACCACAATTATTTTTTACTTAGCTATTACTTATTTTTGTTCGGAGACATTCCTTAAAGGGAACAAGGGATACGCTGTAACACATACATAAGTACATCTATAACCCTGGATTTTAGTCAATTTTTCTTTAAATACAAGCGTTTATTTATAAATTATTTTTCTTTGCCTTTGCAGAAATTCGATGAAGTCGATGGACAATCGGTTACACCCCTCACCATGGCCGCCATGATGGGCAATGTTACGTTCGTTAAAACGCTGCTCACTCAATACGACATCGATTTGGAGCGCGAGTGCAATGTGGTTTTCGATGGCTTGCTTGTTTATGGCGCCACTGCACTTTGGGTCGCTGCTGGGATGGGCCACATGCAGGTGGTGAAGCTGTTAGTGCAGCGCGGTGCCGATGTCAATCACAATACAAAAGCGCAATCGTCACCACTCCGTGCTGCATGCTATGAAGGTGAGTTTCAGCCCTGGTCGTTAATTGTTCTCATCCCTATTGATACCACTTAGGACGCCTGGATATTGTGAAATATTTAATTGAACATGGCGCTGATGTTAACTTGGCCAACACCTATAATAATACGTCCATAATGATTGCCGCCTATAAGGGTCACGCACATGTTGTCGACACACTGCTGAAGAACGGCGCCAATTCAAATGAGCAGGCGCTTTGTGGCGCCACAGCGCTGCATTACGCCGCTGAGTGTGGCCACTTTGAGGTTTGTCGCTTGCTGCTCGACCATGGTGCTCGCATGCAAAAGAATGAACACGGACTCACGCCTGTTTTGCAAGCTGCCGAACGTACACATGAAGCGGTGGTGGAAATGTTTATTTCACGCCCGGGACTGATGACGAAAGAGGAGGTAACTAAGTCGTCGTTAGCTCAGCTATACTACCAATTAGTGACTGCTAATTTGTTTCACTTGTTCATATTCATCATTGCTTCTTTACAGATAATAAATGCAATCGAGCTAATGGGTGCCTCATTTGCGAACGATAAGGACAACTATGATGTCTCGAAAGCCTATCAGCATTTGATGCGTGCCATGGAAATGCGTTACGCGGACGACCAAAAAGTGATACGTAAGCGCGTAATGGCACCCGTACCCGCTTATGATGATTGGTTCGAAACGGAGAATATACCAGAACTGCAGGCCATACGATTAAATCATCACTCGATACATATGGAAGCATTAACGATACGTGAACGCATTTTGGGTAAACATTATCCAGACTTGCCGCAGCCAATTGTCTATCGGGGAGCTGTAATGGCGGATCAAGGTCGCTTTGCACAATGCCAGGTTTTGTGGAATTACGCTATCGATCTGCGTATGATCAACAATGTGAGTGGCTGTGAATGGAGTTTGGTGTGTATGCTCTTTTTTATATACGTCTATCGATTTTAGGTTTCAGTTGAACGTGACTTGCTACGCTTTGCTCAACTGTTCTCACAGATTTTACGCTTAGAGGAACAAACACTGGACCTTTCAATTGTGCTGTCCGTGCTGGTAAAGTGCCAGCAAGAAATCGAGAATAACAAATACAAGATAGCGCACCCTGGACCTAAGGATGTGCCGCAAATGTTGGCGGTAAGTAATCTGAATACATATGTATGTCGTTTTTGCGGTTGTCCCACAGTCCATTTTTGAACTGCATAACATCGGATTGGGTATTTATAATTCCGATATAAGAAAGACTTACGGCGGCTCATGAAGTGAATTCGGCGAAAATGTGGAAGACTACCATGGATCGTTGCTATTTAGCTGAATTCTCGTCAGAAATCGTATTCTCCTCGAGATACATGAGCGACATGTGAAGCGACAATGAAGTCCGAACAGTGTGCAACTATCGGTAAAGAGCCATTGAGTAGTCTGTATTTCCTGGTGAACTACAAGAAAACATCGCCTGCTTTGGGAGATTGTAAAACTGTGGGGATGGGCGAAAAAACTTACGTCACGGCGAAGGAGTTTCAGACCAATCAGCCTGTCCTTTCTACTATTGAAAACTCTCGAGGGACTAATGGCGTTTTCGTTTCTACAAAAATTGTTGCCTTCTCATTGCCCTTTCCTTAGTATCTGTGCGTAGAGGGCACTGAGAAGGCAACATTTTTCGCTAGAAAAGAAAACGGCATAAGTGACTTGTTTATATAAAAATATCACTCGGAAGCAATCATAATTTATAAAACTATCTGCTTGTAAAATTTTATTTTGTATTCCTTCCTATTTCTTAAATATATATTTATTTATGTATTTGTATATCTACAGGATCAAAATGAACAAAACGTCGTCACTGCCCTCTACCTCATTAAAATTATAACGAAACTCTTGGCTCACACCAATATTGATATACAACGACCTCAAATCGAGCAATTATACTCAACCATATTGAAATTCATCAAATGTGATACTCGCCTGGCGGATGGACAAACTTTATTACATTTGGCTGTGAACGGCATAACACCCGTTGATGATTTCTATACAAGTGATATATGCCGGTAAGAAAATATACAATATACAGCCTATGTACATGCCTGTTTATATTTATGTATGCACATAATTACGTTTCTCATTTCCTAGCTTTCCTTGCTTCCGCACCGCCTTGTTATTGGTTCATGTTGGCGCCTCTGTAATAGCTGTGGATCGTGATCGTAATACGCCCCTCCATACGCTTGTTGCAAGTGTAAGTTGTTATGGGCTTGATACATTCCTAAATATAATTTAAAAAATATTTCTATACTTACCCAGATACAATTTCCACGCGACAATCCACATGTTTTTACGCAAGCTGAAAAGATTGTAAAACTTTTTGTAGATGCCGGTGCACATTTGGATGCCGTGAATGCAAACGGCTTGACGCCAGCACAAGTTGGTAGCGCAAGTAAGTAGTACATATACAAATTGAATCCAAACAGTTAATAATGTTTTAAATTTTTGTTTATTTCCAATGTAAGATGGCATTAGCAATCTTATACTTAGCTACCAGAATTCGTTGACCTCGTTGAAATGCATAGCCTCACGCTGCATCGCTTTTCACAAACTTAAATATCAAGGTCTTATACCCAAAGCGTTGGAAGCCTTTATACAAATGCACAGCGCCGAGAAATTTTGCGCGTAAACGATTTTGCGGTTGTGGCTGATTGTGCGACAGCGATGTGAAGGAAGTAACAGTAGTAGCGGCTGGGCTGAGAAAACACTATCAACTTCCTTTTTATGTATTCTAATTTTGTACATTTGAAGTCGAATATTTATTTTAGATTTATAAAATTAAGCGCTAGTTGGCTAAAAAAAAAATTGGTCGCTTATTTTTAGCCACAATGGTTAGTAGATATAATCAGCCTAGTGGATCATTAAATTAAGTCAATTTTATTTTTGTTTCTGCAAAATATCTGAAAATTAAAATTGCTTGTGGCCAATTATGTTTATATGAAAATAAGCTTTTTAGTTTCTAAATAATTTTGTTTATAATATTGTAGCCAAATATTTTTGCCAAGTGTATGAATACTATAAAAAATGTGGACTGAAACTTTTAATTGTAAATACATGAACAAATCATTTTACAAAAATTATATCTAAAATCATCAAATGATACTAATAAAGTCGTGTAAAGCTAAAGACGTTGAGACGGTTAATTGGCGAAACTAACTAAAAATGCACTTTGTGGGGATAAAAAAGGAGACTGAAATTCATCTCAGCAAAATTTTCAAATGTTTTCTAACAATATAGTACGTTGTTTTATTCGAATACTAAAAATGTAAAATTGTATTATTCAGTTGATGATAATTATATGAATATTATTGAGAAAACTAAATGACTGCATTCAAGATTTTTTAATAATCAGTGCTATAACTGAATCCATCGTAGACCAATTTTTCGTGAAACCTACGAAATTGCTCTCGCTGAAATGGAATAGCTAAGAACGTAGCATATAGTTTGAATTAGGGATGTGCCGGATAAAAATTGTCAAATTGTATCATGGGGAGCCATTAGAATCATGTAAACAGTGCCGAATTCTAGTGAAAACTTCTATTGAAGAGCGAGCTTACGAGGATATTTGGTAATGCTTTGAGGTAAAAGCAACCGCCGGATAAGCATGATTCCGGATTTCTACCGCATACCCGGCACATACTTTCTAAGAATGCATACGTTCGTAGCAATTCGGATTAAGTGATCGAGTTTTCGTAGTTTTGGAAAAATCTGGGCCTTTACTGCGTAGTTCGAATCGATAGTGAATTTGTATGAATTCGAACTATTGGAACTATAAAAGAATTACACAGTAAGGGCCCCGACTATGATGAACTCACTGATAACTCCAAATTATATTCATCAACAATTTTATATATGTACCAAAATTTGAAACTTTAAGTAACGGTAAGCTTATTTGCATTACAATTGCTTGAAAAATTAAAAAGAATAATTGATTGTTGTAAAAAAGTGTCTCTAAATTATTTTGGAACGGTTGAAGCCTCTGGCCCGATGAGGGGAAGAGTGGCACATGCTGCCCCCCGGCAGTAGCTTGAAAAGGTTCAGATTTTATAAGGCAGACGTTTTTAGGTGTTTAGTAAACTTACCCAAAACTTCTTGGTGGAATAGAGATTTCGAAGAAAAAAGACAGTAAAAAAATCATCGCACCGCTATTGCCATGATTTAAGCATGACTTTGAAAGTTTTTAGCAAGTAAAGTCCTTAGCTTTTGCCATTTCTGAAAACAATAGGTAGTTTTTGCATTTTATTTTTTAGCCATTAGTAAAAATCAATCGATTCCTGGTATTTTAAGACATAAATAAATAAATATTTGGCGCTTACAGTTTTGCTAAGTGTTTGGCCGAGCTTTTCCCCCCAATTTGTGGTGTGATATTAAAATACAAATGGGGGGACCTATAATTTTACCCGTGGTCGACCGTTGTTAAGACTAAACCTATCTATTCCTTTGTGGGATGGTTCTTTGACCAGGATTCGAACCTTGGCCCTACGGAGCGGTAGTACGCACCTCTAACCACGCGGCTTCAATGATAGCTTTTTTAAGAGACTTCGACTTATTGCGGTAGATTTTTTTTGTTGGAATTTTCATGGTATTTTTCAGGGTTTCATCGAGATTTTTGACGACGATATCCGCTGACCACAAGGTTTCTGGTGTCAGGGCCATAGATTTCGATGGGCATGCAAATAACCGTGTTGGCGGTGTCCGCGTGCTAGGCACTAGAGGCGCGGAATTTATTTATTTATCGATCTTAGTTGAGACAGGGTGCACCACGATAATTTCGCTTCCGCTGTGTTGATGGTTGATGGGCGGCCATCGAGCGCCATGTTATGGCGGCGTGTGCAGAAACCTATAAAAAAAGGCAAAATAAAATAGCGAAATAGGCAGGAAAATGCACTAAAACAAAACAAAATTTTTAAAATAAAAATGGTTTACAGGAAAAATTTTCAACGTATGCCACTACATATCCAATTTCTATATAGAATTGCTTGCTGATTCCGAAAATCTAGTTAATATTTTGTTCTATGGATAAGTTTTCGAGATATTTTCAGGTGCACATGGCGTATGAGTATGTTACTCCTGCCCCGGTCTTGAAACAATTTCATTGCAGCTAGTTTATATATAGTACAGTTTATAGCCATCGACTCATTGTGGATCGACTCAATAATAACGGTCCCAGTCGATATTTTCTGGAGCTAAAACCACCTCCAAACACGCCTTCCACTCTGCATTCCTTTCTCCTTCCGTTTTTGTACGGGTTGTCAATTGAAGGCCTTCTGCTTTCGCGACGCATATAAACGCTATTGTAGGACGTCCCAGTGGTTAATTTCTGGAGCTAAATGTCCTTCCAAAAGGCTTTCTTGAGAGTCGAAAGACCTTCCCTTCTATATTCCTTAATCATTTAATTTTTGTAGTGTTAAGGAACATCGCAGTCAACTTGGAAAACTGAAGCATTTTGTTGTACTCAATTTTGGCAGTTGGTTCCAGTTCAGGTGAACATCCTGCTCCCAGAAGATTAACCCGCAGTCCGCTAAGGACAGGACACGCTTGCAGATGATATGTTCCACGGTCTCGCCTTTCGTTATGCATCTCCCACTGTTCTTATTATTGGTCAGAGCCCGTTCAATGGTGTGCGATGCCAGTAAGAAATATCCAGTTAGAATACCAACAATGCTGCAATGGTCCGCCAGCTTATAGGATTTATTAAGATTGAGTTTAGCACAGACGAGTGCCGTCTATACGAATTTGTCATCTTTTACCCGTATGTACGAAGGGATATTCACCGAGCCGGCTTTCTTCGAAGTTCGTCCCAAAGTGCAGATCCAGGATCATGTAGTCAATCCATGCGGCGATTGGTTTAGTGCTAACTGCTAAGTTCTTCTGTAATGCCGATTATAGATAGCCTATATCCACTTTCTATTATTTTAGGAAATATTTTCTTCTCCATGCATACTACTACACTGAGGCCCGTCGAGAGGGTGGGGAAAAAATGAAATGATCACATGTTCTTGAATTAAGACAATTTATGTATAGGGGCTGGTGATTTTTCAGACCGGAGCCCGAGTTTTCTCTCGACGGCCCTGACTATACTCACCAAATGCAATTACTTTTAATCTTCTTCTTATTTGGCTCTGTAACCGCCTAGGCGATTTTGGCCGAGTTAAACAAAGCACGCCCGTCGCTTCTGTTCTGTTGGAACTGACGCCAATTGAAAATGCCAAGTGAAGCCAAGTTCTTCCCCACTTGGTCTTTCCATCGCAGGCCCTACGGAGTGGTAGTGCGCACCTTTAACCACTCAGCCACAGCGGCCGCCTTTTATAATAAAATTACTTTTATTCAAATCAAATTAGACAGGTCAATCGTTTAAGATTACATTTAACATTTATATTAAAAACATTTTTTTTTTGTAGTTTATATTAATTTAAGTATAAAATCACAGCAGAAAGTGTTAATTTACATATGTACAATGTATGCAGAATGCTCATAGGTTCTCGAATGTACTTAACCCGGTGCATATCCGTCAACCCTTAGATATTCGCGTCGCTCACTTTACTCGTACTGTGATGCACTTTGGGGTATACTTCTGGTTGACGCATAACTTCTTCATACGAAGGGGGTGGTGCTGTTAATAAAATTAAACAAAATATGTACTCTATTTTTTGTTTCTTAAGTAGTAAACATTTGCAAATTACGTTGTGTCTTTTTGACTATCGAGCAGAAATGTCCCTAGAGCATCAAGATGCATTCAAGCATCAAAAATAAAATTTTGAAAAAAAAATGTCGCTTACCATTAATGATGTACTCTTCATCGTGCATATAAGCTGGATTCACAACTGCATCTGTTGGATATGTTGTTTCCACGGTCCGCTCATCGGGCAGAGTGGATCGTTGTGAGCGATTTGAATGACGTCGAACGCTCTGGCTGCGTTGATGATATGAGTCCATGAATTGTTCTTCGTTATCCATTTCTTCCGGTGATAGTTGTATGATATGAACTGAAGGGCGACGATCTGAAGAAATTAATTTTAGAAAATTAAATAATAGTCACGTATTTCAATTTCTGCTTGATTAAATTAATTGAAATATATTTGCGATATGTATTTCATAGGAAAACTGTTATATGTTTGTATAGCCTAAGACTGACATCACCACGATCCAGGAAATACGATGGACGGAAAGAGCAGTTCTACGAACGCACAGAGGAAGCACGAGGTTAAAACTGTGTTTAGCGTGACGCACAAAATAGCTATAAAGCCAATTGGGTGTCTGCTGATCAGAGAACGAAGAATACTTTAATTGTTATGATGGACATAAGATACGCCTCAAGTGTTCTTGACGCGCGTTTCATCCGTCAGCATCGACTGGGATCAGTACCTATCAGCTGAGGCCCGCATACGCCTCTGTACAATAGACAATGTACCCCAGACAACGAGGCGAAAGTTCGACGTTACAAAAGACAGCTAAAAAATTTCGTTATTGACTCATAACTTGTTATCGGCCGCGATCAAAAAATAAAATCAGGCCGCGCTGGCATATTCATTTTGACTAGTGAAATTAGGTCGCGATGCCAAAATGAAATTTGACAACGCGGGTAAAATACATTTTGACGAGTGAAATTAGGTCGCAATCAAAAAATTAATTGAGAATGTTCGGTTATTTGGACAATGGTTTTGTGGTAGGGGCGGAGGGGGACGGTCGTTACACTTAAAACCCTACCCATTAAAGAAGCACAGTCAAAACTTTAAGAATCGTTGCCCTTCCCCTTTCTGACTCCTCTACACATCCCTGGGTACCCATTTGAAAATGGGATAAAATTAGCATTTTGACATAGAAAATGTAAACTCGGGTTATGCCATCCATAGTATTTTTGCGCAAAACCGCTTTCCGCATTGGGGCCTTTTGGCAGCTTTTAGAAAAAATAACACTCATCAGACCAACTTCGGCTACGCTGATCAAAGTATTTTTGCGCAGAAAACCTTTCCAAGTTGGCTGTCTTTGGCAGCGCTTGGAAAAAATAACACTCAGCATTTCAGCAAAGTGAAATCAGGCCGCGATCAAAAAATGAAATAAGACCAGCGGGAATAATAAAATTTGCAAGTGAAATTAGGCCGCCATCAAAAAATGAAATTAGGCCGCAACGAAGAAATAAGAAGGCGGCCATAATTCATGCGGTCTAAGGGAACACTTCTCAACGATTTTCAACGGCGACGCAAGTGGCGCATTTCCTTCACTCGTCCAATTCGAGGTGAGAACAGCAACAATGCGGAGCTTATCGGCTGAGCTATTGAGATAGAGAATTCATGAGAAGTAGTCGAGTTGAATGAAATAATTTACTTTGACCTATAAAATTACCTAAAGGTACGGATTTAGTAGGTTTTAAAATGGTTTTTGTTTTTACCTAAACTCAGTATACAATAAAATTTAAAAGGTTTTAAATATATCTTTTTACTTTTTTTGCGTCATGGATTCCATTTCTATGATCAGAAGAACCGAAAAACGCATTTTATTTTCATGCTGTTTCTTAGGTAAAAAAAAAGGAAAAGAATTCAAACCGTTTGATGGAAGTCGGTTTTGAGGGCAAGCTCAAGTTTTTCGTTTAATAAGACAATGAGATGTGAAGAGACTATGGATCATATCTTCCGTGTATGTCCATTACTGAAATGGATCTATACGGCGATAGTACGGCCCATGATAGCTTATGAAGCCATCATCTGGGTCGATAGATTTGCGCAACTTGGCAAACTCGAAGTTCTCACTAAAAAAGGCTGGTATGCGTATGCATAACTGGAGCCACAGGAACTAGTCCAACCGCATCCTTTGAAGTGCCTTGAATTTACAATACCGAGAGATAGCATGAATCCGAAGTTCAACTTTATAAAGAGTTTTAAAACTGATCTAAGTTTTTCAGTTATTCGAAAAATGGCAATTTGAAAAAAGCAGTTACCCATTTTCAAATTAAGGAAAAAACCGGGTATACCGATTTATTTTGCATATTTTCTGTAAAGCAACACTAACTGTTCTGACCAAATTGCAATATGACTTCTTAAAATAGGTATAGCTTTAATTTGGAAATCAGTAAAGCGTATCATTTGAGATATTTTGGATTATAATTAGAACAAAAAAATTAATAAAATTAGTGAAACCTTCGTAACCTTCCTTTGTCGGGAAAAAACGCGAGCATGTAGAACTGACTGTCATGGGAATGAGAACATACCATCCGCTGAACCAGAGTCACAATACAAGTATATTCTATTACAGACATGTCATTCATCGAGAATCAAACAACACCTTCGTCAACTCTGACCACTTAAATTCCATAATCGGAGACGAATGCCACCTATCGCAGACTCTTCAGTTCAATTTTGTCTACTCACATTAGTGGATTTTCTCTCAGGGTTTCTTTTATTTTTTAGTCAATTTTCTGCGGTGGAAAATTTGCCAGATTCAGATGAAAAAAATTTAAAAAAGTGTTTTATGCAGTTCCATTTTTAATAAAATAAATATTTAGAATTTTTAGAATCTGGTATATAAATAAACTAGGTAAACACCTGGTTCATTCGCTTGTAGAAATCCGGTTTACTCGGTATTCGAAAAGCCAAGGTTAAACAAAATCTCTAAAAATATTTAAAAAACCTGTTTGGAAAAACCAAGTCAATCACCCTCTAACACACTGATGGCCAATTGACCGAAGATGGTTGCGGGGATTGTGCACAAATGTGATAGGCCGAATGCTTCAAAGAGCACTGAGGGAATTGGGTTCTTGGGCAGATATGTAGCTGCGGGCTCAACGTTAATTCATCGAAAACTGAATTCCTCTTATACACCGCAAGGAATAATATTCCTAATTTTAACTTACTTTCCATAAATGGGCATACTCTCTCTCCTTACGCTATTTGGGAGTCATTCTCACACCGAAATTAAAGTGGAAAATGAACATAGAGCACCGAGTAAAAAAGGTCTATGGTGCTCTGTATTCTTGCAAGCAAATACTGGGTAAGAAGTGGGGCCTGCGACCGATTATTGCATATGGTTCGCTGGTTTGGTGGAAACCGTAGAGATGAACTATATACGCACAATGTTAGGCAGGGTAGAAAGGTCAGTTTGCATTGCGATTACTGGGGCGATAAGATCATGTCCAACGGAAGCATTGAATGTCATCTGTCATCTGCCACCGATTGATTTCTTTATTAAGGAAAGTGCTTCTCAGAGTGCCCTGAGGTTGAGGGAACTTCGACTGTGGAAAGAACGCACGTACGTATCCTGTACTTTTTTAACGCCCAAAGCATTTGCGAAAAATCTGACTGGCTTCTATTCAAGAGAAACTTCAGCACAATGTTTCAATCAAGAAAGGAGTGAAAGAAGCTTATTTTTATCGAACGCTTCGAATTATTCATTTTTACGGCCGGCTCAAAAATGGATTGTGGCGTAGTGGCGGGAGCTTTTTCAACCGACCTCCAAATCGAAGAGTCTATTCGATTACCAAATTCACTGCACTTGACTCTGTAAGCAGCACCACCAGCATAACAAAACAATGCAGAGAGAACGTTATGGCTTTAGCTGAATGACATTTATGGCTCTTTTTGAGGTTAAATTGCGAGCAGTGGTTTTAAAACGGCACGCATAAATATGTGCTAATTGGAGTTGTTAAACTCGGCACTACAACCAACCAACATCAAAATTCCTGTAAATATGTATAGCGTTTGGTTAAATCTTACATAGCCTATTTTTAAAACTTTACTAATTTAATACCCGTGTCACACGCTTCTCCTTTTTAAAAATATATTTAGCTCCCGTTTGTGCCTTCGTCGGGCTTCATACAAATTTCACGGAGTTTCTTCCTATATACCATTCATGCTGAACTCTGTACAAGAACTATGTCTGCTTGTCCCCCATTTAATCACTTAATAAAGTTGGCATGTATTTACTTTCACTCACCAGCTGCAATCGCGTCCGTATAGTTTTCGGTGAAGGCAAAATGTGGTGTAATTGACTTTTTACATTTAAGGAATAACACAATCAGAATCCAACCGAGTATCAAAAAGAGATAAACGAAACCCAGCATACTCATAAAGCAACAATCTCGAAAACGCTTTCGCACAAATTTGATTCTTTTTTTTTGTTTGTTTTAGTTAATGTATTTTATTTTCTTTATACATACATACATACATATGTGTATGTAGTATTATTTAGCGATTTATGTACGTGAATATCCTTCGACATCCGAAATGTTTACTCAGTGTTCACATTATATACATATACTATAGTTGGCTATTTGGCTTTGTCACTTTAACTGCTCTAAATATTTTGCTCTAATGGCAAACATTCAAAATTATAAAATGAAAATCGATAATTGGCAAAGTTAGTTGGCGCGCGCGACATTTAATATTGTTGTGGCTGCGCTAACACCGTTACACGAACTGCGCTGACCACGTTGCCGCACGCAAGGATATTTGGCTTGGTCACCGACTCGACGGACAGCTCAGCTCGCTCGTACATAGACAAGTTGAGTGGCTTAGGGATTTTAGAATAATTTTTTTTATAGTTTTTGTTCTCAATGCTAGCTAGCTGCCATAGTCACTAGCTTGACGATGATAGCCTTGTGTGACCACAACAATAAAAATGTGTAGAGAAATATACAAAATTAGTTAAGCGAAGTGTGCTTGAATAGGCACATACATATGTACATACAACATATACATATCCTTTGCGCTCAAACGTAGGAGTGTTGTAAGTACGTATATAAGTACATAGCGCCTTACCCATATAAGTATGTATGTATGTAGGTGTACGTAGTTGAGTGCGACATGTGAAGTGGCGTTAATCGCATTTAAACGGTCGTATATATATTTATGTACATATGTATGCATATGTGATGCGATATCAACTCGCCGCTTATAGCTTGATTAGCTTCCTTGAAATGGTCTACCTTTGCAATGTTCATATAGGCGCATATTCATACATACATAAATAAGTATACCCTGCAGTGAAAAGCTGTCCTAATATGCACTAATGCCACTATTATTTAAGGATAGAAGTCATACCAGTTCGTTATGAACTATAATTATACAAGTTGCTCGTAGAAAAAAAAGTAAACTAGTTGGATGAAATTCTTGTTCGGTTTGAAAGTTGTTCCAACGTGTATCAGCCATACGTGCGACTTGTAAATGCTGTTCCTTTTTGATGAGTCCGAGTGGATAGTTTATTGTTATTTCTTACTGCTATGCAGTTTCTCTCTAATGTTTTACAGGCCCTTTCGATTCTCAGTACTTCCGGTTAGAAAAAGCTAGCAAAGTTCGGTTGTCTAAACGAGGGAGAGACATTCAACATTTAAGAGAACACCCCCACACCCACACCGGAGTCCATTTTGGATCCTTCAGTATAGATTTCAGTGAAATTCTCCTCGACTATCCTGCCGCTTCTCAAATCCCGTCTAGAAGGAAACTTCAGCTGAAAGTTTTACTAAAGTCTCTGGATATTTGTAGTAGTGGAGACACAACTCTCCCTTGGGGAGTGCATCTATTTGCAAAGCGTTACTGAACCAATGCTTGAAATTATATTTAATTCTGTTTCTATGCATTTGTGCGATATAATCTCATATGCAATCAGATATTCCCACCTTTACAAGGGATCGGAAATTTGCTTTGATTTTAATCTTATTGAAGGCCCCTTCATGTCGAGGAAGGCCGGCAACGTGCACCGCTTATAGTGGAGTGAATTTTCTTCTATGGAGCCCACGACTTTAACGAGTTTCAGTTGACCTGCACCTGTATGCTTGCTGAGCTTTGGAAAGTTTGGAGTTTGCCAAAAAAATACCTTATGTGTAAGTCCAACAGTCTTTGCAATACCTTAAGTAGGAAAGATGTAAAACTTATTGGTCTGAAGTCTTTAGCTTTATCATAATTTCTACTTCCCGGTTTGGGAATGAAGTTAACTTTGGCTCTTTTCCAGCTTTTCGGGCTTCGTAGACCCTTTCCAGCCAGGACATCAAGGACTGCTCTAATTTCGGGAGCATTTTCGGCTTGATACCGTCAGGGAAGTTGTATAGGGAGAATTTATTTACATATAACGAGTTTAATTTTTTCTTTGTCTACGATTGGGTGGAGTAACTCTTTTGAGAGTTGCTGACGGTTTGTTTGAGGCCATGCTTTAGGCCACTGATCGCAGCCAAGAAAGTGTGTACTGATGAGAGTTTGACGGACCGTAATTATACCAGTTCTCTGCAGTGAAAGGCTTAACCAGGCACTAAAAATACCAGTTCATTAACTGGTATGTGCTTAAATAAAAATAAAAAAAAATAAAATAAATAGAATAAATACATAAAAAAATACAAAAACTAAAGGAAAACCTCTATACCGTCAACTGGTATGATGCTACTAGTATTTCTACCGGTAGGGTGCTGATGCAGGAGCGCACAATTGACATCTCCTATGACACCGCCATGTTAAAAATACCAGTCGCTAAAATTAAAAAGGATATAACGTGAACTAGTTGAGTTAAAAAGCAAAGTGGTAGCATTATAGTTGATAACTACATAGTAGATTTCCCTGCAGGGTACGTACATACATATCGTCGTTTAAAGTACAAAACCGCGTATCATCATTCTGCAAAACCGCGTAACTGACATTGGCTGCCAAAAATTGGATTTGCTCATACAAGCTCTTGGCTCAATCCTTATCCATTCGTCCTGAAATCTGACAGAAATGCGATTGCTTTATTAAAAAAAGAGAACCATATTGAAATATGAGTGTTTTTACGCTCTAGAAAATAATTTCTTCAACTTCACATACGCGGTTTTGCATTTTGCTGATACGCGGTTTTGCACTTTAAACGACGATATGTTGTACATTAGTTGATGTGTGCACGTACGTATGTACGTAGATTGTAGATTGACTTGTCTTACAGTCATTTGCATTTACAGTTAATACTTAAAAAAATTGCAAATTACTTTTGTGTGTGAAAAATATGCTCAGCACACATTTCAGGACAACAATTACTATTGAGTTTTTTCGTTATTGCAATGTACATACATACATATACATATATATAATTTTTTTTACTATTACTATTGCTATTACTATTACTATTTGTCGGAGAAAATCAGTTAAGGTATCAAAATGTGCGTAATTACCTCGGCTTTCTATGAGAGTGTGAGACAGATTGAAATAAAAAATAAAAAAATTGTATCAAAAAATCGCATTTTTTTATTTTTTATTTTTTTTTATTAACTTCATCATGTTCGATTTCCATTTTTTTTTAACCTGAATAGTTGTCAAACTTTATGGAGTACGCAGTAAAAATTTGAAAATGGAAACACCAAAACTGTAGAAGTTACGAGTTTTTTCATACCTACGTACATAAACTTTAACTTAAACTTAACTTAAAACTTAGCTTGAAAAATATTGTAAATATTAAAAAAGGAAACACCACTCATCCATTTTTGACCGCCACTGCATGTACATATATGTAAATATATATATGTAAATACCTTAAAACATTTTCACTTCATTAAAAATGCAGTTTTAGGCATGGGGGTGGTACCTGAGAAAATCGCCACGAGTAATTAAATCGGCTTGTGCACTACTTATGTCGTGGCTAGACATTGGGAAATTATTCGAACAACGTAAGATGCACAGTTGATCCAAATAGGTATATGTATGTATTCGTACACCTATAATGATTTTAAGAATCATCAACACAGGTTTGAACATGTGTATATATATGTATATACGTTTAAGGTCACTGCCCTATTTTACTCAGGTTTAATTAAATGATGATTTGCGGGCACGTGTTATGTATTTACCAACTTATTACTTAGTGGCTATATAATTTTTTTTTCTTCTATGTATTTATTTCATTTAGTGAGAAAGGGAAATCTTTTATACACTGGTTTTTTAAAGCCGAAAGCAGACATCATTCTTCTTATTAGGCGCTGTAACTGTCCAAGCTCTAATCTGACGGAATTTAGGATCAATTTTCGAAAGGGCTTCCGTTCTAAACTACATGTTGGAGAGTTGCCACCTGTTTAATTCGCGGACGAGTTGAAGAGGGTTAAAAACAACAAAAATGTGAAAATCTCTTATGTTTTGGCTGTGTATGTTGACTTTTATTAAAATAAATTATACCTAATGTAACGCGCAGAAATTTCATACGCTCAGCAAAGTGGGTGAGGGCAATCTACTCAAACATAAAAGGGCGCCAATGCATGATTCGCCCAGGGCGCTTAGCTAGAATTGCATCTTTGTAGCGTGTAGAGAAGCGTGCCGGGTAAGCTAGTATAAACTAGTATATTAACAAAGGTAGGTGGTATGCAATATAAACTTACATACTTACATAGTAGTGCTGCAAAACCATCGATGGGACCATAGATGTTATCGATGGGGCCAATGCTTTAGCCACTATCGATGATTTCAAAAAACCGTTTACTTTGCACTCATAAATATAAAGCTGTACCCAGAATTACTGCGGACGACCGTAAAGCGGTCGGCGGTAAGTGAACAGCTGAACAGTTGCCGCATTGAAATTCGCCTGAGTAAACACAATTGCGGCGCATGACGGCTTCCATCAGTTGTCAATTTGATTTGAAAATTAAATATTTTTTCTGTACGTGCGTGTATGTAAATTTGCTGGAAATAAAAATGGACGAAAACATTTCCAAACTTGTGAAAATAACAAAAATTACTACAATTACCCTTTCAATCAACATTGTGCCGTCCCCGCTGGGCAGTAAAAATAGAAATAAATTTAAATAAACCGAAAAATAACGGCGGTAAAAACACTGCCGCCACAATAATGGGCCATTGCATATGCCTTTGTGACTTTTAAGTTTGACAGCGGTTAAAACTTAAAGTTCCCTTTCCATTCACGTTAACCTGCGAAAATAAATATAATAAATATACTGCTTTGGTTTGAACTTTCTTAAACCTTGTTTTATTTTGAAATTTCTAACACTTACCAGGACTATTGCAGCATCCATCGTAGTCCGATTTTTCGTGAAATCTTCGAAAATGCTATCACGATCCCAAAAGGATCGACAGCACCCGATTTTTAAAAGTATCGATACTGAGTACTCCAAAGAACTCAGTTCTCACAAAAGAACTCGAAAGTACTCAGAACTTAAAAGAACTCGAAAGTACTCAGTACTCAAAAGTACTCTGTTCCAATAATCGCTTTGATACATGTACTCAGGATCGATTCAAAGTACTCAGTATTAAGCGTCGAGTATACTTAATAAGTACTGAGTTTTATTTACATTTAACGGTATTCAGAAATGATTTTACTCAACTTGCAGTTTGAATAATTTTCAAGTACAATACTTGTACCCAGTACAGTTAGCCATTCATTTGACGTAATTTAGGATTCATATATTAATTGGAATAAAATACTGCCAGCTTGTGAGATTTCTACACTAAGTATTGAAATGTTACCAACATGTGTATATTTAAAGAAAGTACTCAGTACTCTGAAAAATACCCGATCCTTAAAAGTATCGATAGCAAAGAACTCGATCCTCAAAAGTATTCGATACTTTCCAACACTACTTTGAATGCACACGTTCGTAGCAACTCGGATTCAGTAATCGCATTTTCTGTGATAGCCTCCACTTACAGCCTATTTTCACCAAAAGCTTAAGAGGTCAGGTAAGTAGAAAGAATTTACACATGGGGTGATCGGTGGGGTTTACTTCTTACTTATTGCTTTTGTTTTCTTATGCTTAACATGAGCAATTACAACCTTCAAGTTGTTATCTCCCTTTTTCAATAGACATAAACTGCAGCTAAGGCTTGGTGGAAATGAAAATGAACTATTAGTTTGAAAATAAACGAATAGTTGTATTTTTTTAGGTTCTGAAGTCGTTCAATATAATATGTGGGTCATTCCATTGTAAAATGGAAAACGACATAAATTTAAATATGCCCTAATTATCTCTATTTCAGTAGTAACCTCTTTTTAAAAGACTACATTTCATTAACCTGTGAGAAAATATTAAAAAAAATTAAAAGAAGTTGTAATTTTTGTCTATGGAAACTTTTTTTCATGCATAATTACTTTACACCAGTCACAAGGAGATGTCCCACTAGTCACAATTTTAAATATTTTTTAATATTTCTATGAAGATTATATAAACCTAATTTTTATTGAAAACGAAAGCGTATAATTTATATTTTACAATACAAATATATCGTTCGTGAAAATTAAGTGTTTTGGCTAAAATTCATCTTTGAGTGCACAAAGGTAAAATAGAGTTCTTTTCAATGTGCCACCAGTCATTCAAATGATAGTTACAAAAAAACTAAGAAATCGTTTGGCATTTCTGTTATGGCAATTTTATACATTAGTTATCGTTCTATGTTAAAATTTATATCTTTCGATGTTTAAAAGTTCCGACGACATAGTTAAAATTCGCAATTGATTACATTCTGGAGTAAAATGTCCCACTAGTCACAATGGAATGGCCCATGTGTCAACAAAATAATATTTGTGTAACCCTTTTCTATTTAACGGGCCACTCTAATAAACCGTCGATATTATCAATGTTGCCACTATCAACGGTTTTGTAGCACTATTCCATACATAGTACATACATACATATGTATGTATGTATGAATAACAAAAGTAGTTCACAGGATATTATAGGTATACATTGCTTATGAATGACGTAACAATTCAATTTTAAGTTTCTGATGACGTAATGGCAATAACGTCAACGAAATGCCTCATAGGCGTAATTACTTATGTTTGCATGAAAAGCCGATGCTACTTTGTTATGCGCACAGGACCCTCCTACGCACAATTTAAACTCCTACTTACGTATGTAAATACTAAAAAAAATTTGGACAAAAGGTGACAAAAAAAATATTATTTTTGTATGTGAATATGCACACGCACAGTAAGAGGTAAATTTTTGCGAACCCTGTGTGAAATCACACTGGTAAAATTGAAGGACGTAGGGAGTTGGACTAAAAATAATGGTTTAGATGTAAACCCAAGCAAAACAGGACTTGTACTGTTCACAAGAAGTCCTTGACAAAAAAAATTTAGCTGGGTACGGATGGCCACTATTGCCCTTTATATCTGCAGAGGAGCGACCAGCACTAGGGAAGAAAGCAAATATGAAGAGAGCTTATATATTATGGGAAGGCAATATGCTGAAACTACTGCCCTAAGACTAAAGCTAAAGCAGCTTAAAAGCTGGAAAGCGTATCGATTCGATCATACTACAATTCTCATTAACCGGCAATTACCGAACACTACCAACTTCTGCGTAGCAATGCTCGCTTTTGTTAAATGGCATAGCTTAGCTATAACAAGCAGAGAAGCAAGTGGATCGAAGGAGTTCCTACACGGACGGCTCCAAATTGGAAAACAATGTAGGAGCAGGCATCTACTCGGAAAAATTGGGAATACAAATGTCTTTCCGTGTACCTGGCACGACAATGGTGTCTTTCAGGCAGAATTGGCGGTCATTCAAGAAGCTGTTGGCAGCTTAAAATTAGCCGTTGTCACTCCTACTAAAATATGTACATTAGGGCGGGTCTACTTTTTTTTTAATTTGCGGGTTTAGCATAGGAGGATTCCACGTGTAATTCTAAGTAAATTTTGCGAAGAAACCATGGATCTAAAATCAATTTGCAGGTTGCCAAATTGCGAAAGTTAGGTTTCGAAGAAAATGTGAAAACTCTCACGGTTGCGCCCTCTGGTGGAAGTTTGAGAAAAATATAAGTGAAGAAATGTAATGTACATATATGAGGCTGAACTCTGTCACTATAAACTGGAAAAAAGTTGCTAACTCCCGCAAACTACTTAACGTGGTGATGGTAGAGCAGATATGGTTTTGCTTCTGGTATGGGTATTGGGACACAGTGACATGCCAGGAAATCAGAAGTCAGACGAGCATATATGAGGCGGTACTTCCATGCCACTTTCATCATCCTAGAAGAGGATCGAAATATTTCCATCAAAAAGCGTGTATCCGATGCAAACGTACTGATATCTGCAATACAACGCAACTTATGTGGTCTAAATGATACACAATGAGATCAAGATCAATGTCCTTGGCCGTGGGGCTACTCATAGGGCATAGTCTAAAAGGAAGACATGCGGAACGACTCGGAGTCCGCCACAATGACAACTGCAGGAGCGGCTATGAAGAAGAAAAGCCGAAATCAATCAGACACTTGCTTAGCGATTGGCCATATACGTTAATAATGAAACAATATTAGTAGTAAAGAAAAAGATGACCCATAAGGTTGGAGCAAAAATAATTACTGGATACGGAAAAGTGGAAAATGTGTGATTTTATCAGTAGTCCCATTATATTTCCCGCAGAGCTTTCCTTTGACTTTAAAAGGCTTCAGTATTCTCTGAGGCTTTTCTTTGACATGCCGATAAATAAATCCTAACATTAAAGGTAACTGTCGAATTAGAGTTGGCTGCTTATCTCAGGAAATACATATTTGTGTTAAAAGTACTGGAGTTTGGTATGGAGATTTATGAAAGCAATCCCATACTCACATAGAAAAGTAGGAGCTATTGAAAAATGGGTGTACTAGGTTTATCCCAAACAAGTGAAAATTTCATATATGTATGTACATTGGTATGTAGTATAATGGTAAAGCGGCAGTCACACCTCAGATCCAAGTGGAATTTTCTAAGCACATCGCATCCTAAAAATAAGTACAATTACTTTCGTTTAATAAATAAATCGTTTTTTATTTACGTGTTAACAATTAGTTAGAGTTGTTAATAAATTAGTTAATTTACGTATGAATAAGTATCTACTTATGTATGTGTTTGCTAATCAATGAAAAAGTAAACTTAACCGTAAAACATTAGGTGCGAAAAAAGTGGTGAAAGTGAACTGTTAACTAACTTAGATAACTAAATTAATATGTGAGTACAGGAAGTGTTCAACTATGGCACAAGGACTAAAAAAAAAACCGCACAATACGCACAGCTGTGCTAACTGTGCACTTACGGTGCTTCTTAAACAACCAACATTTTTGCATAAGGAAATAGTTTGAAATATCGAAAGGTCTTAAAACTAGTCATTCTTAATTAGAAAAATATGAATTAACAATTTTTTAATATTTGGCTTAGGTGCTATAGTGTTAACGTTACCACTAGAAAATCGAATAAAAAAAGACAATATATTTTAATGCATTGGTACAAAGTACTATCACAAGAGTTGCCGACTGTGTGTAGCAACTCACAAGATTTTCTGTTCATTTAATACCTAAATAGTATGTTTGTGGTATTCAATGAAGACTGACTCGACTTTGTTGAACAATTCGGGTGGTGGAGCTGGCAATTTATCTACATAAATACATACACATGTATGTATGTATGTATGTATGTCGAATAACTTAAACTCCTCAAAGACTTGTTGTGGCTTGCAGTTTTAAATATCGCGTGCCATTCTCTGTATCTGCGAGGCGTGCTATATGCTCTGAAGCGGCATAGCAGGTGGTGGCGGTAGGCGTGCTAGGTCGGCTATTATTCGAGTTTTGTCGTATCCGCATTGCACCCCAAATGAGTACGACCACCGAGGTTACCAATATACCAACGCCAAGACCGGGCAGGAAGCTCTTATTCAGCGACTCTACAAAGTTATATGTGTGTTGCTGGGTGGTTTGTTGTGATTGACTTGCTTCTTCGAAAATTGTGTTATAATTTCGTTTAGAATTCGTGAGATGTTCATCGATTGTCTGTGCTACAATGGGCGCATAGCTCGTTTCGGCGTCACGATAAGTGGACAGCTCCGCTTTGTATGGACGTCGTTGATATTGGCGCACCTCTGGTACGGAACCAGGTGTGCTAAGCTGAAGCTTGGTGATATTTGAGCAGCCAACATTCAAGTCGGCATCGTGATTTTCCTCTTGTACCATAACTAGACAGAAGCGGTAACTGTAGCGAGTAAGAAGGAAAAATTTGAAAGGAAAGTTATTACATAAATAAAATTATTTAAGGTAAAGTTTGTAATCTTTCTTACACCGTGCGACAAGAACCAAAAAAAATTTTAAAACACACGAAAAAAATACTTTCAGGATTTTTTTGAAGGACTTCGGAATTTTAAAAATTATGATTAATTCAAAAAATTATTTAAGAAATTCAGTGCAATTTTTTGAACCACAAGGAGGAATAGGTATTCAAAAAGCTTTTTTAAATAATTTTATTATTTAAGCTAATAAAGCTAGGAGTGGGAAATTCAAGGATGCAATTTTAAAAGGGCATTCAGTACCTACTTATTCACCATTGTGCACTTAAAAAATAATCTTTTTCAATTCCACAGAATTTACGATTATATTTTTATACCTATAATATTATTATACATTGCGCTAAATTTTTTTAAATATTCTATTGAATTAATCACATGTTTGAAACTCCAAAGTCCTTTAAAAATCCTGACGTCAGATAGAATTTTATTCAGTTAACGTGGAAAAAGAAACTTTTTTCAATGATATTCAAAATTTTTTTCCGATCAAATAATAATCGTTATTATTGAATTTTTTTCTTTGTCGATCATCTCATAACCGTTATTTTTAGATTTATTTTTTTAGATCATAAGGGATTTAAAACGGTCATAAACGGTCACTATAAAGATTAAAAATGTTTGAAAAAAATAAAAATCCAAATTATTTTTTTTACCGACAAACTAAAAATCCAAATTTGGCGATTATTTTTGGTTTAAAAATAACTATTTTGCAGTGATATGAAAATAAAAATCTTGATATTTAATGCTTATTTTCGGTGCCTGGTTTGAGTGGAAGATGAATTTTAAAACCTACGACGACCATTATTCATTCGTTTATAAAAAAATTTCAAGCAATTTTAGGTTTTTGTAAATTACCTCCATTTATATTAATAATTAAAATAATTAATAATAACATTGTATTTTTTTATCTAAATGAAAAACGATCCGCCCTCAAAGTTTTGTGCTCGGGGCAGCGGCTCCCTTAATCTCCCGTAGCTGCGCCACAGATTATAAACAAATATACATATGCACATATGAATTACCTTTCGCCAATTTCCAAAGAAGAGCTGTCTGGTACAATTACACTGACCGTATTTTGCCCATTTAACACCTTGCTTTCACAATGAATCTGAAAATAAATATTTGTGTTTGATTAGTACATAACTATATCCCTGTACCTGGGAAGCTCAAAGTTGAATTACTTGGAAATTAGCAAACTCTTATTTCCGAGGCTTTGATTAACTAAACAAAAAAATATTTCACCATTTTTTCCAATTTTAGAATTTTGCAAGTTTGAGGGATATTTATGAACACATATACATATGTATGTATGTATATAGTAAACTTAAGGGTTGAATACGTGCAAAATCGAAAATAAAAGAATATTTGTGCATAAAACTACAACCAGTTCGCACAATTAAATAAGTCAACTGCAGAGCGTCGAGCTTCCTAAACAAGCGCTTCCCCGAGAGTGGGCCAAAATAACGCACAGCCACTTGCGGGCCGCGTGCAATGCCCTCATTCGCCCTTTGAGGTCATAATTCTAATCATGGGCGGCCAAACTGAAAACCGGTTACCGGTACAGTTTTTAGGATAATTCATTTGTATCATAAAAATGATAGGAAAAACTGGTTAGCTTGGGGGATCATTACTCATCTGCAAGCCTATGAGAATTATTGATGAATCTTATCCTGCACGCTAGATGTTCCTATGGGCCGTCGGTGATATCTACGGTTTGTCCATAGTTGTTCGTCCCTCAACACATCGCTGGTTGCGGAACGGGCAACACTCTTCCGGCCTGTTTAACCCACTTCCGGTCTAAACTGGCAGTCGGTAATACGACCAAAAGATAGAGCATCCTCGACTAGGTAACTCATATCTTTTCGTTTTCCAATAAAAACATTTTCACTCAATTCAGAAGGACGAGTTGAAGCTCGGAGGTAATTTAGAGATTGAGAAACGAAAATTCGAGAGAAAATTGTTTCAAAGAAAAGGTACTAAAAATATGGACTTCCGGTGAGTTTAACCCACTTCCGGTAGTAACCAGAAGTCGGTAATACCACCAAAAGATGGAACATCCCTGATTTGATGAGTCATATTTTAGGGGGTTTCAATAAAAAACATTTCCCTCCATTTTTGAGGGAGTGAACGGGTGGTCTAGGACACGCTGTACAAGTACTATATTTGGGGCGTTTCTTTTCGCTTCCAAACTTACCGGTGAGTTATCGATTAATATTTCATTGATATTCTCCTCTTTGTAGACAAAGATTGCATCGCACATATAATCGTTTTTGCTCAGGTTAAGTATCCAGGTGAGTATCAGTCCATAATCGGCAGAGAAATGTAGTTCATGCAATACGATCTAGAAAAGTAAACGCAAGTTAGAGCCAATTTCCAAATCGAAGCTCCCATAACTTACCTCCTCCGATAGGTCCTTTATGTGCGTCGTATGATTTTGTCTCGTTATAGCTTCTAACTGTTCGATTATGTTAGCATTATCCTTCTCCACATTATCCATTTCGCAATTCAAAGTCTCCAGTGGTACTTGTATAAGAGGCGCACCCTCCAATCGGGGAGGTGTTACGCAAGTTGCGCTCATCAAATCGCTCGACTGTATCTTTGCGACCTGCAACCATTCGGCAAACGAGCGTATGGTGCAGTCACACGACAAGGGATTGTCCTGCATGGATAGGCTCTTTAATTCGCGTGCACCATCCAATGCATTCTTGGCTACAATCGAGATATCATTGCCAGCCAAGCGTAGCACTTGCAGTGATGGTAATGGGGTAATCAAATCAGATGTCAAGGCACGCAAGAAGTTATGTGTGAGATCGAGTGTTATGAGTCGTGTAAGATGTTGCAATGATGCGCTGGAGATGGCAACAATGCCATTGAAGCTTAAATCAAGATTTTCAAGTGCACCCAGACCGTAGAAGGCGTGATCTTGTAGCACATCGATTTGATTGTGACGCAGTGAGAGGCTGGTAAGGCCGGAGAAATTTTGCAAAGCTTTATTTTGTATGCTCTTGATGAGATTGCGATTCAGTTCCAGCGATTCTAGATTTCTCAAACCGGGCAAGGTGGTGGCAGTAAGTGGACCATTGAGGTTGTTGGCTGATAGGTCAAGTTGGCTATTTGAAAAATAATAAATAAAAGCAGTTAAGGTGTGTTAAATACATATTTTGTATAGGTAGAGACAAACAATTAGCGATAGTACCGTAAATTATAGCAGGCGGTTAGCGCTTTTAGACTGGTTGGATAATCGCCCAGGCGATTGCCACCTAACTTCAGCACTTCCAACTTGCGCAAGTTCATAAATGTACGCTGTGATATGCTGGATATTTGATTATTGCTTAGCTCAAGATAGACGAGATTTGAGAGGCCGGCGAAGTCTGAGGTGCCCAAAGCTTTTATTTTGTTATTAGACAGATCCAAGCGCTCGAGCGCGGTTAGTGTGGATATCGAGTTCCATGGCACACTTAAAAGCGCATTAGCTGGAAGGCCTACAGTGGTGAAAAGAAATTTAGATTAGTTTGAGAGAAAAACTAATTGGCTGAAGAGCATGAAAAAAATATGGCGATATCTGGCACACACCCAAAGCTTGCAATGGCCCTTTTATACCCAAAAACGCTGATTTATGTACGCGTTTTATCTCGCCGGATGAAATTACAAGACCATACAATGAAATGCCCTCAAAAATCTTTGCATCACTCAAGAAGGTTACGTTCCGCAACGAACAGTCCAACAGTGAGATGGTATAGGGTGACTCTCGCAGATTACTTGCGAGTACCTGCAATATGAGTACAGTGAAATATTAAAAAAGTAGTAAAACATTTTTAGAGTACAACAATTTGTAGCGTTCATTACCGTTAGGCCATGCAAATCACCGGTACAGCGTAGCGTATGTGGCAAATCGCAGCCACATTCCAAGCTGCGCGAGCTCGTCACATTCGGACACTTCCATTCAATGGTCGGATCATAGACGGGAATGGCGGATATTTCACCAGCCTTACGTCGCTTTGGCAAACCTTTGTTGAACAGCTTACCACTTGACTTTAAGGCTGGCGGTGGATGTGGTATCATAGGCTTAGATCTTTCTTTCGAAGAGGTAGATGAAGAGCTCGACAGCATAATTGAATTGGAAATATCATTGGTGTGATTGGACAGCGCTGACGAGGATGCGATATAGGGTGAGCTCTTCGTCAATAAGGTAATTGTTGTTATTGCTGAGGTCGGGATCATTGCCGGTACCGGTGTTGTTGTTGTTGTCGTTGTTGTTGTTTTTGTTATCGTTGTATCAGCATGAGCGATAAGCAAATCATTGCACATCGATCCACCGATTAAAGTGATTAACGTGAGTAAGTGTAGCAAATATGCGCTGAAATCAAGAGAAGAAAGTGTGGATGCATAAACATTAAAATACATACATACTTCCTTATTATGGGGAATAACAACAATTGATAATAATGATTAATAAGACAATGTATGTATGTATGTATGTATGTGACAGTGAAATGACAAAAGTATGAGTTTATGAATGGGACATACATATAGTACATACATATGTATGTTTGTAATTGCATGTTTGCATGTAGTGGAAGGTGCAAGCATGGCATGAAATACATATGTACAATTTTCTGGCGTGTGAACGAAATTACGGTAATCATAATAAATTGAGACATATTTTGATTGCGACACACAATTCTTATTTCCACTTTAGCTTTACAAAAATTATGCTGCACTTAAGTAACTGTTGATTTTTTTTGTTTAGGACAACGTAAAATTGAGGCCAAAATATTTTATTCGTATTTTTATTTGATTGAGGGGTTTCCCTAAAATATACCATCTCTTGAAAGCAAACCGATTTTTATGAAAAGTTCGCGCTCAGATGTTGGGGAAGTGTATTCTACTAATATTATACATACCCTTGTGGTCAGCTGATTAAGTTAAGTGACATTTTGACCAGTTTTGGCTAGTTTTCTATTTGTTGTATATTTAATGTTTATAATTTTTCCATACAAGTCTGGCACATTACATAACCAGCGCCACACAAATCAACATTTCAAACTTGGTACAAAAATGAAACAAACTTTAACAATTACACCCAAAAATTTTAAACATTTAATTAAAATGCATTTTACTTCATAAAAAGTATGCTCGACAATTACTTTTATATGGAAGAAAATGCATAGCACTGCCAGCAAAAAAAAATATGTCAATTAAAAATCAATGCGATTTTCTAGCGTCTTTAAGTTTGCACTTTAACCTACTCAAATTTAATGGGCTATGAAACTGTTTACCTAAAATTTTTCTAAAAATTTTTAATAAAAAGTTAAAAAATTTTGGGTGTAATTGTTAAAGTTTGTTGAATTTTTATAATTTTTGTGCGAAGTTTCAAATGTGGATTTATGTGGCGCTGCTTACGTAATGTGCCAATCTTTTATAAAAAAAAATTATTAACATTAAATAATCAAAAGGAAAAATAACCAAAAAAGGTCAAAATGTCACTTAACATGATCAGCTGACCACAAGTGCACATACCACATTAGGGTGGCCCAAAAATACATAGCAAAATCTCCCCAGAACTGAAGAATATCAAAAATAAGGAGACACGTATTTTTTATTTTGAAATCGATTAATATTTACCCGCGCGGTCGAAGTTTTCCATGTATTTTACATGGGGAAAATACATTTTTTCGTAGAATTGTTCAAAAAATCTTTAAATATAATTATTTTTTGATCGAAGAAGAACATTTCCTTTCAGAAATCTTCAAAGAGTAACACTATGATGCTTATTTAACTTAACTGTTATATACAAAAATTTGTAATTTTATCTTTTCATAACCACATCACACATTGGAGGTGTTAATTTTTTTTTTTCCTTTTCTCTCGATGATTTCTGTGGGTATGTGGGTAAAAATTTTGAAAAATAGAGTTGCCAGATATGCCAGTTTTAAATTGTTTAAACGCTCAATAAGATAGTTAAGTTTCTTCATCAAACCTTAAAGCGTTTGAAGATATTTAAAACATTTTTTACGGGGTTGCCACTTTTCTAAAAAATACAACAAAAATTTAAGCTTACTTAATACCATAATATGGGTATCAAATGGAAGTTCCAATCTGTTTAGAAACAAATTTTGTTCCAAAAAAATGTGTTTGAAGGGCAGATACATTTTAAAAGCTAGGTGAGAAAATGACACTTAATCTATTTAAGCTGAATTAAAATGACTTTCGGTAATTTTTATAGTTTCATTTTTTCCGTTTCTCCAGAGCGACACCTTCTACAAATAAATTTGCCAAAAATAAATAGTAAGTCCTAGCTACCTCAGAATTGCATTTGAGTGTACTAAAATTGAAAGGGGCTATAAAACTGCATACTAAACTTTTTTTCTAAAGAGTGTAATGAAAAAGTGCATTATTTTAATGAAAATTTGCGGAATTTTCTTAAATTTTGCACAAGGTTTGGAACTCTGATGTTTGGGATTTCATTGTAGAATTAACCATATTTTTATAAAAAATTAGCGACAAATAAAATATTTAAACAAAAGTTGCCCGTATTGCAAAAAAACTCTTTGTACCTAAACTTTATTGATTGATTGTATGTAGGTAGAGTAAATCACCTTACGAGCACCACTTCCTGTCTTAAGGCTGGTCTGCATTTGTCATCTTGTGACACAACTTTCTTCTCCCTCATCCGCGAGGTAACCGGTAATTATATTAATAGACTGGTGCTTACACATATGTTAGTGTTTAGACGAGCTTCTCGTTCTTCTTGTGGCGTGTGCCTTGATGTTGTCACACAAAGAGGAGGAACCAACAGTTTTACGCCGACTCCGAACGGCCGAGAGAGCCTGTTTAGCAGCTCATGTAAACGACTGATGACTTAGGGCCAGTTTTTCAGTGCCAGTTTAAACTTAGATTAAATAAACTGAGTTTAAATTGAACAGCTGGCTGACAATTAATTGGCTGATCTTAGTTTAAACCAGCCAGATCGGGCGTTTAAATTGAGTTTAAACCACGGCCGTGCACTGAGAAACTGGCCCTTATTTTAAAATAAATCAATCAATAAATATGCAGATTTTTTAATATTGAATACAAATGCCATTGAATTTGACATATTTGAAACAGGCCATTAGAGTCCACCCATCAAAAAAAAAAATGTTTCAAAATTTTTTATTTAAAGGCGTCGTATTTACGTTGCCTTGAAATCATAAAAGTTCGTATGAAAAACATTATATGTATATGTATACATTTCTTCAAAAGAAATAAACCGCTTAGGTCAAGCAACTTGCTTTATAGAGAAATTCCACATATTGCCCATGCACAAACTATGTATTTATAATTTATTTGCATATTTGTAGCTTCAATAACGCTTTTGAACAGATTTACATACTTATGTATGTATGTACTCGTATTAAGCCTATTAAATCAATGACATGCCATACAAAAGAGTTCTCAGGAACACATCTAAAGCGTTGCACTGTTTTTGGGTCAAGATAGAAAACGTTGACATTTTGACACATATAAACAAAATAGTTGCGAGATTCATAACAAATTTGCCTGATAACTATATTATGTGCCAACCAATTTGCCAATTATTAAAATTAACCCTAACTTGACGAACCATATTTTTTTTGTGAGTATATTTTAATATTAGAAATCTTTCAGTGCAGACTGTGTCGAACTTTCCGATCATTTGAAGTGTAACTAAACTCAACTGAAAACAATGGAAATATTCTTAGCAAAGTGACTGGGGAGCTGAAAACAGCGAGGTTGTTATCGAGTTCCACGAGAAGGATCCTCAACGTGTTGTGGTCTCAGTTGGTATTCTTCGAAAGCCATAACTACTGAATGGGTATACTACGAACACAGCCACCGTGGCAGAGTGGTTAGAGGTGTGCACTATCACTCGATAGGACAAGACTTCGTTCCTTGGTCCAAGCAATATCCAGAAAATGAAAGAAAAATGTTTTTAATAGCGTTAGCCGTGAAAAAGCTTCTCATGCATCGTAAAACTGTAGGTCCGTCAATTTATATACTAGCAACGCCAAGACGGACACCACCAATTGGAGAAGAAGTTCGACTAAACATGTAGGTCAGCTACATTCTGAATACCGCAGCTGACAGGCCGTCGCCTCCAGCAGCTTTGCTATTTTTCAGCCGGGAATTTTTGTTCGTAACAAACATAGTCATCGACTCCGTCATCGTCGATTCTGGGCAATAGGTTCGTCTTCACCACAACTTTTACTGCTGCTGCCATTCAGCAGGGTGGAAAAGGGTTCCCTCCATAACTTAAGTACGTTCTGGACATCGGTCACTAGGTCGCCCGCCATGTTGTTCTTACAGGAGTTCGCCCTGGTCTTGAAACCTTCCGCAAGCGGACTAACTCTGGTAAAATTTTTGGAAGGTTTTCCTGTCGGCCAGAATTTCAAGCTCATGTCGTTTGGCGTACCTCTTCTTATTGCGACGAATACGTCTTGCTACCCTCTTCAGTGGTCCTCATCAAAAAAGAGGGTCTCAACCGAGACTTGGTTTTTCTTTTCCACTGGAAGGGGTTTTTACGTTGCCCCGTGGTCCCAACCCCTGAGCACAATCCATTTGCTGCGATGCTGGTTTCTCAACCGAATACACCTTTATATAGCGAGCTGATTGACAGTAGCAAAAAAGTCTTTAACCGTCTTTCAACCACAGCCTATTAAATCAGCACAGGATTCCTTCTTATCAGTTCTAGTGTTAAAACGAAAACGAAAACGAAAGCGACTCTCCAGCGAGTTCGAGAATCATATTTACAATTGAAAATGCTTCTAAACTAGACATATTTAATTCATTACTTTATCACCGACATCACCTCCATTCAAATCCAATTATGCTTATATGTACTTGCCTTGCCGCCTTCGCTGTTTGTCTTGACTATTGTCTGCTTGTCGACGACAAACATACATACATACGTATGTACATATGGGTATGCATAAATAAATATGTACGTACAGACAAAAAAAGCGTAAATTCATGTAGAGTCCGACTTTATGCTAATGAGTCAGAGTAGTGCTAGAAAACTAAATAAATTTTATTAGTTCTGATGTGCATTTGCACCAAAAGTGGCAAATTATGAGGTGACAGACACTAGCAGCGCATCATGAAAAGTGGAAAAATTTAAAATTGTCGCATCAAATATGTAGAAGAATGGAGGTGACACACCAAAACCGGAGTGGACCGGCCCCCGAGGCTTTAAAAACCTTAATTCATCTGCATGTGCAACAGTCGGGCGGCAACATTGAAGCGCGGAGCATAAACGGCTGTGGCAAGTGCATATGTAAATTCGCAATCCTTTAGCATAGCCTACATAGATGCAAAGCAAAGTGATCGCTATCCTTACACATATCCTTAAGGCGATACGTAGTTCTAGAGTTGAGCAAAAAAATATTAAAGATATATTAAAAATAAAAAAAAACGGCTACAGAATTTATAGTGGGAAATTATGATTATTGCAAAAGATCGATAAATTAAGTGCGTTATTATTATATTTGTCGCGCTAGAACCATTGAACGAAACAAAAAAAATAATTAAATGTAAAAATATCTGCGCTCCCACTTAAAGTAAGCATCTTGGATTTTAATCGCATTTAAATACATACATACATACATATGTGGTGCTCTTAATCAATTCCTGGAATTTTGCCGCTGCTCGTGAAACCTCAACCTTATCAGCGTTTTATAAAAAAAAACATTAATTGTTAAACGAAATGCGCTTCAAATCGAAAATAGCAATAATCAGCCTTTCGATGGTGTTGAGCTGCTGCTTGTGGGCGCACAGTGATGCAAAAATGCTAACAAGATGCCAATTGGCTAAAGAGTTGCTGGCCCATGACTTTCCGAGAAGTTATATTTCGAATTGTGAGTGTTTAAAGCAAAATGAATTGAATTGTGCGCTTCAAGAAGATACAAATGTTTATTTATGTACATTAAGGTGGTTAAAAAATGCATGTGAAAAAGTAAAGTCCGAATTTTAATGCTCTCACACCTAGATAGTTCTATATCGAAAAATATGTTCTTTTTTTTATTTCGAAATAAAAAAAATATTAAGGGGTCGCTCAAAGCGCTCCAAATTATCTGTATATCTGTTATATGGGGGAAAAAATTTTTTATTAAAAATGGTACATAATTCTTGAAAACCAATATTTTTCGATCGGAAAACTCGCTTTCGCCTCAGGAGACTTACAATAATAATACCCAATTGTCTACTTTACCATTTTTTAATCCTAACTATTTCTTATGGAGCGCACCATTGCACTTTTAAGGGTTTTGCCGTCCGATCGAAAATTATTGATTTTCAAGAATTTTATACCATTTCTATGGAAAATTGTTTTTTGCCATAAAACAAACATGGAAAACTTTGACCTCTAAATATTTTTTGAATTAAAAATAAAAGAACGTAAAATTTTTTGCTGTATATAACATTTCTAGGGGGTGAGAGAATTAAAATCCTGAGTGTACTTTTTTGGGACGATCCCACACATGAGCAAAGGAGTACAGAGACTGAAAATGAGAGCATTTTTTTACATGCTGAAACCAAAAAGATATACGGGCCTGTTCTGGTTTTCAATAATTTGGTTTTTGCTCTTCGGATAACACCGTGTGACAGTTAATTTTTCAAAAAAAAAAAATCAATATATTCACGAAATCAGGGGCCAAATATGCGTTTAATAATAAATAACGGCGTTTTCAATTCCTGACTGGATTTATTTCAAAAGACTTTGAAATTTCAAAGATTTAATTATTTGAAAAAATGATTTTAAAACTTCAGTGAAAAAAGAAAAAAAACCTGTAGCATTGAAAAAACACTATTTTTCCCTGTGTCCTTTTAAAACTATATCCTAGAAAATAATTGAAAATTTCCACATTTCCGATATCGGTGCTTCTAATTGTATTAGTTAAGTATAAATACTTCATTAAAAGGATATCTCCCTTACGTATTCGTCCTTCAAAATATTTATTTGTCTTTATTCTATTGAATTTATACTTTTTTTGACACCCATTATTTATTCTACATTGCAATGAATATTTTAAATAAAATAGTTTAAAAAGCTTTGTCATGTGAATTTTTTATACAAATTTTTAATTTATAAAAAGACTAACCTATTCTTAATTTTTTTTTATGAATTTGGATGTTAGTATTTTCATCAAGAAAGCTCTGCACTTTAATTTTTTTTTTTATAAAAAAAAACATATATAAATTGACTTAAGGCATTGTCTGAAAATAAAATGTCTATTGATTTTTCGGGATTTTTAAGGACCTTGCGAGATTTTCTCGGGATTTCTTGATATTTTCCGCAATTTTCGTAAGGTTTTTTTTCGATCTTGCCGGATTTATTCAGGACCTTGAAGGATTTTTTATTTTTTTTTTTGTGTAGAACTTACCGGAATTTTTGGGGAAAATTGCTTTTCCTAAATGCCATAAAATGGATACTCTGCACGGTTTTACCAGCATGCAAGATATTTCATCAGAATGGTTTTGAAAAATTATTTAATAATGAAGGCATTTATTTTAAACCCTTAAGATTATATCATAAAATTATCTACAAAATTATCTTTTTGGGTTTAATAAACAATTTAATATGACAAAATTAGCAGAGTTAGTTGAACGGGAATCTATTTTGTATACACGCAAGTTTTTCAACAAGTTTAGAATTATGTATAAAGTATTTTCTTTTATTTTGGTTAAATCACTGGTGTGATTGTTAATCAGCTTTTATCCTTTTGTAATTGTTTTATTAGGGGTGTGTCTTGTGGAAAACGAAAGCGGCCGAAGTACTTCAAAAGTTATGCAATTAGCGAATCACAGCGTGAGCTATGGACTTTTTCAGGTTAGTACTTATAAATATTAAATAGCCTTATACTTTTAAAAGTTTCGACAAAAAATAATAATAGAATTTGCACTTACTTCATTTTCAGATAAATAGTAAAACCTGGTGTCGAAAAGGTCGAAAGGGTGGAATTTGTAATATTAAATGTGAAGGTAAAAGTATGGTTAATATTAAAAAAAAAAAAATACATAAAGTTCAAAAAACCTAAAAGTCTTAGAGCCTTGCGCTTCTACACAAGAATATCTTTTAATCTTATAAAAAATTCGTGATAGGGATGGAGGAGATTTATGTTAGGCCAAGAATATAAATGCAGGATCGAAAGCTCTCCAAACAAAATAATATCCTAGATTTGCCTCGTGAAAATTCTTTAAATGTATAATTCTTTCTATCAATTGGATGAAATCTATAACCTCACAAAGGGGCGCGCTGCTTGTTCTTGCAGAGCATCTTCGTTTAAATCAAGATATTACATGATTCTAATAAGGTAGTCCAACTGATCGTGGAAGACCTTTTTGCTTGAAGTGAGCCTCAGTCTTTGAGTCGATTTTCTCTTGAAGTAACTCGTCAAAATTGTGTTTTCTAGTCTTACGGCGATTTTCCTGGAACGTCACTATCGATGAATGGTGGTCACTATCGCGATACTATCGGAAATATTTTTTCATCGCGTTTTTATTCCGTTATTCGATGTCAGTTATAATTCCTACTTCAAGAATTCATAATTATTTGTGCGATCGTGTAAACATATACAAAGGAAATATGTTCCATAAGTTTTTTTTTACATGTCGAGAATGAGCAACCACTTCAAAAAAAAAAAAAAATTGTCAGAATTAGCAGTAAGCCTTGCACTTTTTACCAAAATTCAATGAACTACAAAAATGCATACTCAAAACTTTTCTAAGAATTCTAATTAAAAAACTCGAAATTTTGATGACTTGAAAACTCCTAATTTTCATAAAATGTTTGAAATTGGGGCATGCATAGTTTTCGTTAGATAATGAACTATAATTTAAAAAAATAATGATGAACATTTAATGAAAAAAATATTAGCCTGATATCGTTTCTCGTTGTTTAAAATAGACGACCCACCGCACACCACAGGCTGCATGAGGCGGCGATTTAAGGCTGAATTTGTGGTGCCATACCATTAGCCATAACCATAACCGTAGCAATTAAATGTTCCGATAAAACGTATTCGCAACTATGTATACGATTATTGGTGCCATACTATAACACCAGAGCCATAACCGTAGGTAGCTATTTAATTTTGATTTTTCGCCATAACCATAAGCAGCTCTGAAGTAGTTTGCTATGTTATGGCTAAGGCGTTATGGTTATGACACCTCTAATTTGGCCTTTAGTTGGCCTCCGCGTGTTGCAACATACACGGAAGCAGCAGTTTATTTTCAGCATTTTTTGAAGAAAATTACTCAATAATTTTTGGAATTTTCTCTACTGATATGTTGTTTTATTTTTCCAATGTCAAAAGCCGGATTTTTTGTTTGAAGAAGTTGGTACCACAAACAATACGAAACACGATTTATGTTAGATAGCTAACATGGCGTATAAGAAGAAGAAGTGAAACTGCCTTCTAAAAATTATTAGGGGTATTCTCGATCCGTTGCATACTGTCTAGCATGGTGCCTAGATAGCATATATATGAAACAACAACAAAATTATGAAATTATACCTATTGTATCGTGCAGTGGTGTTTTGAGTCAAATAACTACATATGCGTAGACTAGATAAAAAGTCGGTACTGAGCGGGCAACTTTAGCGGCTATTCCCTAAGTGGATTAAATATGTAATGTGTATAAGTGCATGCAGATGACGATCAAATTCACTTATGTAAATACATACATGTCTATATGTACAGCATACTTTATGTGTGATTACGTTGGCGTTGATTTCCAACATGCCATGCGCCATAAGAAAAGTTTCTTACACGAAAGCTGCTAATTTCAATTATATATCAACTAACTTGTTTAACATAGGCTTGCGAATGCAAAGAATATTTTTATTTGACGTCAAGCCTACTTTGTTAGTGAAGTCAATTCGGTTTATACAAATGCGACTCTTTCGTCATTATAAAAAAAAAAACAAAACAGGTAAATACATATGTACATTAGCGTGGGCCGAAAATCCGCTTTTTAGAATTTTGATTGGTAATAGCAAAAATATGGTTCATTACGCTCTAAAACCAATCTGTGGGAAAGATGACAATTTTTGGTCAATATCTTAGGCTCGCCCAAGTCCATTAAAGTTCAAGTGCCAAACAACATTTTTTTTAAGCTTATTTCGATTCTCTACAAAAAAAGGCCCATATACCAAATTATGTAGGCCTAATACTTTCGAAAATACTTGCAATTTTATAAAAAAAAAATTATGTGGTATGTTTATTTTTATTTCTATTTTTAACCGACTTCCAAAAAAGGAAGAGGTTATCAGTTCGTCGGAATCTTTTTTTTTTTTTATGTATGTTACCGCATAACTTTGGACCACGTCAACCGATTTGCATCGGAAAGGTAGTGTCTCAGTGGTGGTCCCATACTAATCTGGTTATCCGATCCGATCAGTGGATCATGAGATATATATATATATATATTTTTTTTTTATATGAGAGTTGAAGTCGGTTTTTTTTTTTTGGCTAAAAATTACTTGTTACTTTTATTTTTCTGTAGATTTCTTAAATGACGAAATTTCGGATGACTCTCGCTGTGCCATGCAGATTTTCAATCGACACGGCTTTCAGGCCTGGCCTGGTTGGGTGAAAAAATGTCGTGGGCATACCTTGCCCGATGTATCCAGATGCTGAACATAAATCAGTGCAGCGGAATCTATGTCTGTAGGTGATGAACAGATGGAATACCACATGGGTGGTTAATACTCTTAGCTTTGCAGGTGGCCCACATACATACATATACTATGTATGTACATATATATGTACATGCAAGTGTATGCCGGCGTGACCGATAGACTTAAGTACATATATACATACATACATAAGAGTATTGACTGAGGGCTAAGGTTCCAGTGGAATTACTAATGCGACAGTCAAGATAAACAAACACACTCATACATACACACATACATACATACATAAATACATAATAATGAGAAATATTGACTTTTTATACAAATGAACGATTTACCCTTAAGTATCGCATCGCATACAAATCAAGTACTCGTACATACATACATACATACATTAATTAATTTCGAATATGTGAAGTAGTAGTGCGCTTACAAATTTACACATGCACCATTACTAAAAATTAAATAAAACTAGCTTTTAAATTTTATAAATTCGATGTTAAGTAGCATCAATTGGCATAAGTAAACTAAATTTCTATTCATACATACATAGATGTTATACATAGTTACTATGTAAATAAGTAGGAAATAATTTAGTATTAACGCAAATAAAATAAAGTAAAATACGAAATTTAATAACAAATTAAATTAATGTAAACTTTTGCTCGTAGCTCGTTTGTATGCTGCTATGTGCCTCGTCGATTGACAATTTCCGTTCCTGGTTAATTTTGCTAGAGTCGCATTTTCTTATCACTTATGTATGTTGATAAGCGCAACGGCAAAAGGTGAAAAGATAAAGAGTAATGTAAGAGTTGCGTACATACTTTAATTAACATGCACCTACATATGTACATTTGTAAATCCCTTAAAACAATTGTGCGCTTCAGATGTTTGTTCTTCGATCGGCTTAAGCCTTAACTTTATTTGGGCCAATGAATAAATGCTGCCATACGCACTTGTGTAAGTCCATACATACATAGTACACATGTATTTAATGTACCGGTATTAATTTTAGTTGCTTCACGAGTCGACTTTTGTTTTGTTTTAAAGACACAATTTTTATCAGATATTTGTTTTTGAATCTTAAACAGCTGTCACTGCTACACTCGGATTCAGTTCATACACAACGTTTTGCTAGTCAAGAGAGAGAGAGCGCGTTTTGGAATATAAAATTCATAAAAGCTTAGCCACAAGTCTAAGAGACTTACTCGTAATATGCTAATTACTCGTATCATGCAATTCACTACATAGCTAGATTTTATTATAACACCCTACACATAGCATTTATAAAAAAAATTTAGAATTTTTAGCGCACAAATATTTTGCTAAGTTTTTCACTAATTTTCTCTTCTAACTGGTTAAGAAAATGAATTTTTTCTAACGCATATGAGTCATTTATTTTGAAAGTAGCATAAGTCACTTCACAGCTCTTGTGTTTAATAGACCAGTTACCAGTTTCGTTTCTCAACTTTTCTCGATAAAACCTGTAAAACTTTCAAAAAGTAAAATTTCTCTGATCGATAGATCGCAGCACTTGTGCTGACAAGTAATCCGTCATCTGAACACATGAGGTACGAAGTGACTTATACCACTTTCAAAATGAACGGCTCATATATGGAACTTATAAAAATTCGTTTATTTCACTTACACATAAAGTACATATTTAAGAATAACCCCCAAAAAAAAAATATTAGAAGAGTATAAAATGATGGAGATTTTAGTCATCACTTATCCCCCCTTTTCAAGATGGTGTACACGATTTCTAAATAGGGCACCGTCTGAAAATTACAAAAAAATTTTCTTCTCATTTAACAAGGTAAGTGGCTGTGGTAATACTTCGAAGAAAACGACATGAATTTTCATGAATTTTTTTAGTTCCTACGTAGAGCTATAAGCAATTATACAAAGGACTTGTGGTAAAAAGCCAGTAAATCTTGTAAAAAATTTGAAAAGTCGTTTCGAGAAAAACTCAAACGAAAAAAAATTTGCCTTTGGACGCCTTTCTGTCGTTACAATAGGTTTGTTCGTCGAAAATTCAGCAAGCATTATCCAACACTCAAAATATCAGAGAATTTGCAACTTCTCTCCAAGAGAACTGTCACTTTGCTTCCGCAATTTTTGAGTGTTGGATAATTTTTTGGTCTGCACGAGCGCGATTTGGGCAAAAATCATGATAATTCGTACAAATTCGTACAAATTTTTTGCTCGACGAACAGACCTACTGCCGCTGCTAACTTATGAGGTAAATGCTTTGAATTTCATAATAGCGTTGCACTTAATTTTTAAACGAAAACATTTTTTTAATATTTTTATTTTTTTTTTTTTAGGTTGGCGTAGTTTAATTATTCTTGATTCACGGATATACTTATGTAAACGCTTGTAAGTCTGTGTTTCCATTCCTAAAAATCAATACCAATTTACCACGAGGGAAAAAACCTAACAAGGGAAACCTAGGAAATCCCAAAAGAGAAAACTGTGTACCCAAATGGTACACATATAAACTTATATGTATGCATCTCGGACAAACAAATTCCACCTAGGTTCAGGCTTTGCTTGCCGTGGGGTTATTGCTGTTAGAAAAGGTTTTGCAAAGAGACCTGTTTGAGAAGTCACTGACTTTTGGCAAGAAAACGTTTATTCTCTCACCATAATATTTTTTGTTTTTACATAAAAAAAAATGTTTTGTGTGTTAAACTTTTTTAATGAATATGAATACTCAAGGCATCGTATAATAGCCTCCTAAGTAAAAACACTATCAGCTGGCATTTGATGTTATCTCTTACAATTTCTTCCATTTCTATTATAATTTATTCCAAATACGCCAATACATACACTGAACCAAAAGCACACCAACCGCGTACCAGAAACAACACCCCGCAGTACGGGCGAGCGACTACAGGACTGATGAATCGGCAGCTACCTGGTAAACTCCGTCAATTACCGACCGACTACTTGCAGTGTATTTCATCGATTACTTTTACAAGGCAATGCCCTAGGCGGTAGTCACCATCGGCTCTCTCTGCACTACCGGGAGTTACTAAAGTAGTCACTTGCGTGATTTATGGGCGCCCTCTGTCGTAGTTTTTCGCTATTCTGTTTACGACTGGTTCGACTCTGCACTACCATGTGCACTACCATGGGTTAATAGAGTAGCTACTTACCTAGGAGTCGGTGCAGTAGCGGTTCAAAAGTAGCGATTGACTCCAGCAGTACTGGAGGGTATGTAGTGTACTTAGCCTGCGTCCTATGCCGGCAGGAATTAATAAACATCCATACACACACACACACACACACAAACCCACGTTTGTACACCTTGTGCCACTTGTCGCTCAAATCAGTATTAAGAAAACAACAAAAACAAAAGCCCAAAACATGTTCCATTCACGCTTTAGTTACCGCTCTGTGATCATTAAGCGCGCATCGTTTCTGCTAGCCGCTCGAACGGATCGCTTGTTGCTTTCTATAAGTCACTCTTTTTGTTTTTTTGTTGGCATTGTGTGACGCGCGCGCACAAAGCAAAACTAATTAAAAGTGCACACGAAGCTATGTAAATAACAATAAAAAATAAACAAACTAAATAAAATTGCCAAATCCAAAGTAACAATTAGAAATAAAATTCATATAATTACAAAGTGCACAAGTTTTATATATGCAAATAAGTAAAAGTAAATTTAATTTTTAATATATTGCTTTCAATTATATATCTACATGTGTATGTTTATTTTGCCACGCGTTTGATTGCCAAATAGATACTGGGATTTTTCGTATTTAGTGTTTTCCCCTACGCATATTGTTTACTACGTAAATATAAATTTGCAAAGCTGTTCAAGCTCAAAAACTTTGTTTATATGTTTGCACGTGAGATTATTGAGAGTCAATATTACCAAGTAAGCATTTTCGCGTGTACGAAATTGATAATAAAAGAATATTCCATCTGTGATAAGCACGTATGCTTAAAATAAACGCAAACGTATCTATACTCTAACAGTTGCGTAGCCAAGGGGAGGGAGAGCGATTGGGGGATAGACCCCACTTTGATAATACCCTTTTAGACCGTCTGCAATGTGTGCAAAAATGGAGTAGGCTTTTCGGCGATATACACATTGGTTCTAGAAGTAATAACCGCCGGGCTGGGCGGTATCAGGAAGGTATTTAAAAAATTTGCTGGCAGCACGAAAAAACTCTTCCCGACACAGTCTTTATACCCATAATTTCCAAAAATTCAAGAAATATCTTCTTTCCCTGTGTGCCATCGGAATTACGGGCTTGACAATCCGTCAAAGGCTGTCAGTCCTTGAGTCGAATGGAAGCTCAACTGGCAGAAGTCTTCGGCTTTCGAGGTCTGATCAGAGACTTAATTCTGGTGCCAGGGGGAACAGAGCCCCCGCAGAGTATTCTGTGAGCTAGATGAGCAAAGCTAACGAGACGAGCAAGGCGAGAAAGACAAGCGAGATGTGCACGGCAAGACGAGTAAAACAAGCGAGATTTACGAGAACGGCAGAGGTTTCGGTAAGCTTCGAATCCTACCAAGGTCCACCTCACACTGCCAACCGGAATTTCGGGGCGATTATCATCACATTGAGAAGGTATTCACGATAAATCTCACTCATATCTGTGCTCGTTTAAGATACTTCTGCATTGGGCAGTTACTTTTGAGGAGGTGTTACTGTACCGTAGAGATTTATTCGCTGCTTGGCTGTCAGAATAAATATTGACGGATTGTAGAAATATTACACTGCTATTAAGCCATTGGGAGGCCTCCCTTATAGCTGTTAATTTCGCCAGAAAAACACTACAGTTGTCAGGGAGCCGCCTGCGTAGTTTGAGCGAAAGGACTCTAGAGTAAATTCCGCTTCCAATTTTATTGTCAAGCTTTGACCCGTTCTTAAAAATAGCGGTAAAGCCTGGATATAAGTCTGAGTAGTTAAGCCAGTCGCTCCTGTCTGGGATTCGGCTATAAAAAAAAAGCTGCAATCCATCTTATGACGGAATGGTACTCAGAGCTTTTGAGCTGCATTCAGTCTGGTAAGATTGAAGCTGGCTTGATAGCTACCGTAAAGGTCGGTAGTGAGAATATTTAATATAGTCTCCAGAGCCTTAATGAGAGTAGAAGGTAGGACGCCCGTGATCAACATGGTTGCAGCCCCATTGTACCCTAGACAAAATGCCGACCGAAGTAATATCGCAATTTTCTCCGTCTGAAATTTCGGAGGTAAAATTCTACTTCCTTCCATTTCCCGGCCATAAAAAATGAATCAGGATGGTTTCAAAATACTAGTGTGTTGTCCCGGATGACACCAAAAGTTTTATAAGGGTTTATTGGGCAAAATTTAATAATATATACTCTGCAGTTTTGCTCTATAAAATAGTTTATCTATTGAAATCTCAAATAGTATGGATGTAGAGCATTCACGATCCTTTAGAAGAGGAGTCCCACTTTGAAATGAGGAGGAAGTCATTTTATTATGTAGTGAAATCTGAAATGGTATGACCGAAGAGCGTGTTCATGATCTTTATGAAGAGAAGCCCCACTTCGTAAAGGGAAGGCGCATTTTTTACAAAAAGTACGTATATAATTTTTCTTGTTGCTGACTAATTGCTCAACAAAAAAAAAAGGTTAATTGCTCAGAATGAACCTTTACTTATCCTTATCCTTATCAGGACACCCTGTACATCCGGTATTCGCAAAAATTAAAATCTACCCAGCATTAGCTGATAAAAGCTGTAAAATTTTAATTGCCAATTTTCAGTAAGGAATAAGCGAGTGGTAGTAAAATATATAACTGTGAGAATGGCCCATAAACTTAACTATGTTTGAAAAAATCCACACGACGAAGCCTCTAGTCATTCAGTTTCATCCCCCTTTCCGAGATCCTGGCTACGCTACTGCGCACATATGCATAAATATGTATGTATAGATGCATATATACTCGAATACTAATATACATTAATTTATACACAAAACAATCCGGTTAGAAGAAATTAGAGATTAGCATCATGAGCAGAGAAGTTTTTAAGTTTCGCTTGTTTAAGTGATTTGCGAATTCTTTTGATTTATTATCGCTGCGTCGCGACGAGTCTTTTGTTTTATTTATGTTGTTTTAATTGTAAATGTTTTTGCCTAACCTTGATAATTACATTTTGTTGATTTTCTTGCATATTATTATTATATATTTACGTTTTTGCCCACATATTTAATTTGCTTGTCTATTAGTTCACTTTAGGGAAACCCAAAATATCCGTTCGCCGCCTACAAATTTCCTAATTTTATTTTATGTTGCAGTAAACACGATTTGGATTCTAGCTTTGAGGGATTTTAAGTGTGCGATGGCACATATTACAAATTTACATACTTAAAAGTATGTAACTCGATAATAATCCAATAAGTCACGTCCATCTACAAATTAGTCATAATGCGTGCGGTTTAAGTGTTTTTATTTTTCGTTTGAATTTATGAACTCAATTGGTTTTATACATAGCGAACAATGACTTGTGGTTATAAATAAGTGGCTTAGTTTATATGATGGCATATAAATGAGAACAGTGACTAATGAGCTTAGAAATTATCTAGCGGTTTATTGTATCTCACTAATTTACTTACATACATAGGTTCGGTTAGGAGGGCTTGTGTGGAATATTCCATACTTTCATTCCGGAAACAGAATTGCCCATTGTGAGTGTTCTGTTTAAGCGAGCGCCCCATAACCGAGAGAGTAGCTAAGTAATTTCAAGTAATTATTCTACTGACCCAATTACTATCCCTAATGAAGCCGAGGAGATCCAATAGTTCCCTCTCCGCTATCTCGCCCAGACTGTTGAAGAAGCGTAACGAGCTTCGACTGTAGACCTGGACATCGAAATAGACAATGGTCAATTGACTCTTCCTAATCCTTATTACGGTAGCTTTTGCATCGAGAAATTATTGGTATTCGCCATTCGTTGAAGCATAATGAAGCAAAAATATATCGCCTTTTAAACCAGATCTGGAAAATCCTTATTTTTACTCTTAATTTACTCTTTCTTTTGCAGATGTTCAAAAATGTCCTGCTCTAAGGCGCTGCTGTTCACGTTACTACTGAGCTGCCTCTTGCTTAATGCGCAAGTCGATGGTAAAGAATATATGCGCTGCCAACTGGCGAGAGAGCTTTTGGAAAAATATGGAATCAACAAAACATTTCTTTCAAACTGTAAGTACCTTGCAATAACAAGTAGTGAAATAATGCAATATTTTTTTTTTTGTGTTCTAACCTACAGGGATATGTTTGATTGAGCACGAAAGCAATAGGAATACCAAAGTTGTGAAGCGAAATCCCAATGGCAGCGCAAGTTATGGACTCTTCCAAATCAGCAGCAAGGATTGGTGTCGCGTTAGTCGCAAAGGTGGCATATGTGATATGAAGTGTGAAGGTTGGATACAGTACTTTGAAAATAATTTAAGCTTTTAAATCTTTATGCAAATTACAATTCATTTCATTGTTCACTCTACAGACTTTATTGATGACAATATTGCCGACGATGTGGCTTGTGCAAAAACGATCTTTGAACGTGTGGGCTTCAAGAACTGGCCCGGTTGGCAAACGTCCTGTCGGAATACGCAAAATTTACCAAATCTCGGCGTGGCGTGCAATATACAGACAGTGAGACCGAGTCGTACATTGAGATTTGAACACAAGTCTAATTATTATAATATATTTCAAATATCAAATAGGTATAGTCGGTAGCGGAGCAGAGCGCAGGGTAATAGTTATTTTTGTTGTATTTTATATTACAACAAAGTGCTCGAGCAAACCTACATACATACATATTTTCTTAACAGTTATGACCTATTGGCAAGGCAATGCTACTTACTGATTGAACAAACGAATACTTAAACAATAAAAACAAAAAACAAGGTACTTTTCCAGAGGCAGAGAGCATCGCGGCAAACTTTTTTCGTTTGCGTTTGATTTTTTGCCGCACGAAAGCCCCTCAAAACAAATCGGAAACATTAAATGTTTTTTACTCTTTGTACTCTCCGACTATGAGTATATATTTTATCAAAGCATTTACAACATAATTGGCGAGAGGTGAGAAGTAAGATCAGGGGTAACTAGCTAAGTTAAAAAAAGGAAGAGTAGGGTAAGAAATGAATGCTTCAATGATTTCTTAGTGTTCACTGAAGTTATCATTCAAAATCACAGTTTGCCGATCGAAGCAGAGCAATTGATGTTGTTGCTGTTGTTAGCTCAGTAAGCGATTGTGATAATTGGCTATAATGAAGCCAAAGCAGCCGACAGCAAATCCACAAAGGTGGCTAAGCGAAAATTGAAAGTGTTAATGGAGTAGTTTTGTTTTTTTTTTAGTCTCAACTCTGGCAGTCGGTATGGAATATGAACATGAAAGACTATTTTCGTTTTAACTCATGGCAAAACTTAAAAGTGAATTAATGGCTGGGAGGGGGTTTGTCTTAATGCCTATAAGCATTCCACTTTTTAAATAAGTAATTATGTGCTTTTTACTTCGAATCTTTTATGAAATTTATGAAAAGAAAATCGGTAAAGTAATACAATAATGCTGCCGTGTGAAGAAATCTTTCAGAATTTGTTTTACGGAAGTGTAAAGAGAAGGGTTTTTTACGAGTTCATGCCAACCCCTTCATACGATTTTCTTTGAAAATTCGATTTCCGATATTCTTAAAGATTTCGTAAAGATTTTACGAGCTTTGGTTTTCCGGGCACCTATCTATATGAAATGGGCTCCTATATTTTTACTCTTTAAATTAAAATTATAAATTTTGAATTTAGATTTCCACGTAAAACAACAACACTATTTGTATATTGTGATCGTGTTCATTGAAGTTCTTATAACGGTATAAGTGGGGCTTGTACTGCTGTAGGGAAGCTATTGAAAAAGAAGGTGTGTCTCGCCCAAATCGGTTTATCGGGCCCTAGCCTGGTGGAACTCACTTGCCTTAATTGGTATAAGTAAGGCACCATGGACCGCCCTACCCAAATCCAATTACTTTAAAGTACACATAATCTTCTCGTTGATCTACTTAAATCAAATAAATAAAAATTTAGTTTTTAAGTGTTCCAGACAAAGATTCGTTTCCTACTTTTCTCACAGGTTCGGACACATTTTACGGCTAACAGCCTCCTACACCTTTACGTGGCGCGTTGCACTAAATAAACCAACTAAACACACAATAAACAACACGTAACCATAAATGTCAACTGTGGGCGTTATCAGCACAGCCTGAAGGACCACAAACCATTGCAAGAAAAACAATCGCATTTTAAATGCAAGCGAACTGCAGAACAATGCAGAATATACACACTTAGTTATTTTTTTTTTCATATACATACATGCATACATACATATGGACGTGGGCATGGATATATTCTTTTATTAATATGAACATACTTATATGCACAGTTGAATGGAATGGCCAATGTACGAATATCTCTACAGTAGGGGTATTCGCGATCTTGCGCATACGATGTTTAGATAATTGGCATAAAAAGCATGCTTCGATAATTTTGTTGCGGTTTCATGTGTACAAACAACGTATACACCGGATCGTGAATACCCTTAGTGTTTTTATCTGCGCATGCGCGCAGGTTGACTGTCTGCCTACCTTCCTGCCGACATTGGCATGTTGCTGACTACTCGTCCAGCTGACAGCCTACGGTCTTTGTTTGCTGTCTGCAGCCAATTTTCATTTTCACAATTCAAATCGAAATAAAGCCGCAAAGTTGCAGAGTAAAGTAAGAAAAAAAAAAAAAAAACTAAATACTTTTGCATTTAATTCTGTGACTTGGTTGACATGCATGGGCGTCGTAGCAACGCGCGCCGAATCAGCGAAGAAAGAAACGGCCGTCAAACGTCCTCGCAGGCGGCAAAAAAAAAACAACCGACACATCAGCATTCGAATCTTCAATTGCGCAGGAAAGTTAAGCTTCAGGGATCGAAAAAGTTCATTCTGCTGCATTCGCTAGTACAAATGCATATACATATGTATGTGCATACCCTGCCAGAAATGGTGCGACTAAACTCTAAAGGGAGTACTCCGAGATTAGCCTCAATCGGGTACAACTGGGCATGAATTAGTCGCAACTAGTCTCATACGGGGGTATTGTTGGAGATAAATTAGTCACCGACTCCTCCAACGTTTACAATTAACGATTTAATGATATTGAACTTAGACAATGAAATTTTATGTGCAGAGTTAGCAGATAGAGGGAGTATTCGCTTAACAAACCAGAGAACCCTGGTTCGTATCCTGCCTGCGCAAATTTTTATTTTTATTTTTTAAAAGTTATTAGCCGTTTTTTATACCCGTTCGGATATAAAGGGGAACAATTAGTCTCTTTGTAGGACATGCTCGAACAAAAACAAACAGTTCATTGCATAAAAAGAGATCAAAACAGCATTTAGTTGCATGTTCCTTTGCGATTGGTCCTGGAGTCATCCCGGATTAGTCGCATTTTTCGCAGGGTTTGCATAAGGAGGTATGTAGGTTTTATATACTCGTACTTTGGATACGCGCAGTTGGCTTACTACAATCGGTAAGAGAGCTGCACCATATACATACATACATACATGCATACGTGTTTACATGTACGTATGTATATGCTCCGTTAAACTTCCATTGTATATGTATAATGTACGTACATACGTATAAAGATATTTCCTGTTCGCAATCAGCGAAGGGTCCAACTACGCGTTTAAGTTTCGGCTTGGCCCAGTTGGGTGTAAAGGCACATCGAGCCTTTTGTAGCTTCGTTAACTTTGTGGTTTTGGTGAATCATCTGTAGTAAATGCAAATTTTTATTGCTAAATTGTCGTTGGTACTTTTACACGCAGGCGTTTTATGTAGCAATTGCAACCATTATATTTATTGTTGTTTTTAGCGATTGCTCGGGCGCATTGTGTGGGCACGAATGGGAAAGTTTGACAAAAGGAATAATCCATACATACATATAAATTAAATACAAGGGGATCAATAGCCGCCGTAGTGGAGTAATTGGAGGTGCGCACTAATACTCCGTAGGTTCACACCACAAATGGGAGGCGAAGCTCGGTTAAGCACGGCCATGTGTATAAGCGGCAAAATATAATCTATATAAAAAATACGAGAAGCGATTTTCGGTCCAAGTAATCAGCTGAGGTTACAAAATAACGTGCTTTGGCTGTAGAAATGCAAACCAGTTATTTTTTGAGATGATTTGCCAACTGTTATGCAATTAGACTAAAATTATTTAATAATTAATGTCATCAGATCCATACCGTTCGTTCGATTTTCAAAAGTGAGTGGTTTTATTTTTTTTCGAAAGGTGTTGCCACCTTTTAAAAAGTTAAGTTCAAATAATTTAAAATGTTAAACGAACTGTTACAAAATGAGTATCAACCGAAATTGTTTAAAAGAGCTCTGCTTCTTAACTTAACTGTAGGAGGGTTGCCACCTGTTTAAAAAATTTAATTCAATATGAATAAAGAGAACTCGGTAATTGAAATACATTGCATGCATCCTTATATGGGCATCAGACGAAAAGAGTTTCAAGAAGGTAGAGGTTTGTAAATATTTTACAGAAGGTTGCCATCTGTTTGGAAAGTCGAATTTAGTTAACTAATACGTAATGAAATATTTAGCTACTTCAAACGAAAAAGTGTTAGAAAATATTTAGTTTGAACACTAAAAATATTTTTGAGAGGTTTGAGAGTTTCTAACCGTTTAAAACGTTAAATTTCAATTATTTAATAAGGCTGTTAATAAGATTATTAAAATATTAGTAACAATCGAAATGGCTAAACTATATTTAGAGGATTACCACATCTTCAAAAAAATCAAACTCAACTTAATTTATCAGTTATTTAAAATATGTATCAACATGGATTTAGTTCGAAATTTGTTTTGAAGGTAATTTATATAACTGAGAAATTAAGATTGGGGCTGAAATTTTGCCAAAACAATTTTTTTGTGACCGATAACGAAGTTGTCATATAAAACGTAAGAAACAAAAATATGTCGTTTTATTTGACACAGTCTAATGTATATGTACGTTTATGCTGTAGGTGGTAACAAGCTAGCAGATCAAGTTGGTTTTTCGATGAACGTGTGTGGGTGTTACAACGCCATTGCGAGCAAATCAAACCAGCACAGCAACCAAGAGTTTGCCGAAGGTAGCAGAACGCAAAATAAATTTTTGTGCACAAAAAACGAAAAAAAAACCTTCCAAACTTCTGAACGCTTAAATTTAAGGCGCGTCAACTAAAAAGCAAGCATCGTTTGTAAAGCATCAGCTCTATTTCGCTATTTCTTCGCCAGCCTATCTCTGTGCTTACTCGTGTGGCGATTTATGAACACGCTTACATATACATACATACATATGTATACCTGAATTAATATAAGCATTAGGATGGTAATGTTTTTTGAGCCACCCACAGAACTGAGGGTATCGGAAATAAGGAGACCCGTTTTTTTATTTCGAAATTGGTTAACATTTAATGCTACTGCCAGACAGAATACTTCAGTTCAGAAATCTTTAAAGTACTAAAATAATAAGGCAAATCCGAAACTGAAAAAATAGTTGGTAGAATTTTAAAGTATAAAATGCATCATAGTTTTTTTGGAAGTTTTTCGAAAGGGAAATATGTATTTTTATTCGTTCCATAAATATTTACTTTTAATGCTTTTATAGCAATTCTACAAAAAAAAAAAATATTTTCTTCATTTAAAATACGGCGGCACCATTAAATATTAACCGATCTCAAAATAAAAAAGTACGGACTTCTGTTTTTTTTTACATTTTTTATAATTCTCTGTGCTACCTGCTGTGTATTTTTGAACCACCCTAATACATACACTATTCCTTGCTTGCTTTTATATTAAGTGCAGTGAAGGTGTGTTGCTGACTGACTTTAAATGTGGCAATAGTTCCGACAACTTTAGTGATGCCATGGCGCTGCAAACCGCCCCTTATACATACTTACTTGTATGTGAAGAAAAAAAGTATTCGAAACAACGAGGCTCCACGACAAACAGATGGCATCGTTGCGATATGATAATGATGCCGCCGACGCCACGACTGTCACAGCAAATACTCGAAACCTTAATTTGCGCATTTTCGTTGCAAAAAAAAAAAAAAAAACTAGCAACAAAAACGCGAATGTGGTAACAACAACGACAAACGCACATTAACTGGTTTGTTTTGGCAATTTTGTTGCACTTTGTCGCTGCTAAAAGTCACTGTATAACTATGTATGTACATATCCATGCAAATAGTCTATACATACATACATACGTACATACATATTTTTTTTGTCAAAACACATAAGCAGCAACATAAAATGGAGTGATTTTCGTAAGTGCTGCATTTTGACGTTTTAGTGCATAAAGACATAAACATTAGCAAATGCTGCATGCCTATTCGTGGTTTACATGGAATTTTTCGAAATATTTTAACTATAAATAGTGAAAGAGTGCGCGGGTGATTGTTAAGGCAAGCTAATCTTTAGAGAGTACATATATGTATTTACACTTTTCGTGTGTTAAGTTAGAGCAATGTATAAAATACTTTAAATAAAGTTACTCCGCCAACTTATACGTTTTTGTAAAGTTACGTTGAGCTCAACCTTCAGCTCTAATCAAATTAGGAAGGAACTTTTCACGTCGTTCGAGTCTAATCAAAGTTTTTGACTTGCATTCATGCGACTTTTTTAATCAGAAGTTAATATCAGGAAAATAATTGTTTTTTTGGACGAAACCAAATGTTTCGAAAACGACAGCGAATAGCGAATTAGAAGTAACGGTATTTTAAAGCTTTTGAGAAGGAGAAATAAGGAAAAGTTGTTGGTTAAAAAACTGACTTCGACCTTTAAAATTGGAGGGTCCAAAGCATAAATATAAATTTATTTTTGTGACCTGGAAACTGTATCCGATGAACGTTTTAATAACTTTTAAAATGCATTTTTGCTGTCCTTGCGTCAAGGAATTTATTTCTATTGTCGCAAAAGACCGAAAAACGTATTGCAATTTTTTTTAAGTGCTTACATGCGCTTTTTAAGGTCAAAAAAGAAAAAATCTCAAATTTTACTTCTGAAGGTCGGTTTTAAGGTCAAGGTAATTTTTCATTCAATCAGACATTAAAATTTACCATAAAAAATAAAATTTTTGGATCTAATTTTTATTTTCATTAATATTTTTTTAAGTTCATTCATGCTTTTAAGGTAAAAAAAAAATTTACTTATGAAGGTGGGTTGTAAGGTTAAGCCAAATTTTCATTCAATCAGACATTCAAAATGACCATAAAAAGTATTCTTTTTGGATTTTTACCAAAAAACAGCATATAAAGAACTTTTAAAAATTTCAGTTATGTTTTCGTGTGGAAAAAAGATTAATTGAAACAAATAAATAATTGGTTGAAGCATCGATCCATTTATTGCATGGCCCAAAAATCAGCGTTTGTGTTGTTGACTTAAGAATCCGTTCCAAAGGGTCGTTCTCTGGAAAATTTAGAATTTTTCTTAAAGAAATTAACGATATTTTATTTGACAGTTTAGAGACCAAATAATTTGAAAAAAAAAAAATCAATTCATCTGCTCTACTGCTACTAGCTCTTCAGCATGCCTTGGTTTGGTGTCTTTTTTTTTGTCATTGAGTTCTGTTTTTTGATATGAAATAAATTATAAAAAAACCTGACAACTAAACTTACAATACCTAGTTACGGAAAGGTAATTTTATTATGCATCCGTTTTTTTTTTTATGGTGCGCATCACCTAACCAATTGAAAGGTATAATAAAATGCATCCGTATGTAAATGCATAGGAGTTTCCGCTGTACAAGTGAGTTTCCGTTTCAAAAGCAATCCAATACTGCAGTGCAACAATGCCTAATGTAATACAACAATTTTTCTGCTTTAGCATGTACCGACTATTGTCAGAAATGTAAATTTTGTTTGTGTTTTTTTAATATTACATACATATAAATCAGAGCGTAACAGACTTAAATGGCAGCGAATGGTTCCAACAGAGTGCACCCACTCACCTTATATTTATGTATGTATGAAGGTGCATCCAGATAATGTATTTAGAAATATGTATAAAAAAACATATAGCATAAATTGTTTAGAACGTGTAAGTGTTAAAAACTCATAAATTATTTAAAAATATACATTAGGACGCACCACTCTCCATAACAAATTTGTGCTCTTTTTACATTTAGGATTTTTGGAGGTACATATTTCGAAATCGGTCTATTTAACGCAAATTTTAATTTCGGTAGAAGGGTGGTACTTCCATTGGGATGCAGATTTGCCCATTGTAAATGCCCTCTGTGGGTGGTGCCAGGAGGAGGCACATCCTTCTAACCGAGATTAATCCATAATATTAGTATAAAGTCTGTCAAACCATTTATTATCCCGGATGATGCCGTAAATGTTCGATATTTTCACCTTCGCTATCTCCCAAAAGCTATTGAAAAAGTGTGATCCCAAATATGCTAGAGACGCCTTTTTTGGAGAGCTG